GTGAGAAACGAGCACAAAGTCCAGCTGATGGTAAGTGGTTGCTGTGGCCCATAGACATCTACATCTATCCAAGATTAAGATTTAAAATACAAGCACCACTTACCATTAGGCCACAGCATCCACTTACCATCAGGTGGACTGTGTGCTCGTTTGTCACCCTTATTCTTTAAAGAAAACCCTACAAAAATAATATAAATGCGAAAGTGTGTTGTAGGTTTGTCCTTCTTTCACGCATCAACAGGCTCACGAATCCACATGCCTTTAGCAAAGAGATGGTTTACGGAACGGAGAATGATGTAGGCTACTTTTTACCCCAGAAATATACACGGTTTCTGTGGGACAGATCTGGAATGTAATTCTGAAAAATATCTAGGAATAACACATTGGCTGTGATTTTTCGGCTCATTCGTACCTCACTATCTAAACTTTTTCAATTTTGGCTTATTTCAAGCCACCACACTAATACTTTACCAGTTTAAATACCAACAGAAGGGAAGAGGTCTACCATGAAACTGCGTCATGTTGTATTTTTGAATGCATATTAATAGTTTTTATTATTGTAAATTACATTATAGTGTTATAATTCGAAATGTGAATCCATTTATTTTAATTATATAACTTAAATATTTTTGTGAAAAAAAAAACTATTAATAAAACTAAAAGGCGACTTCAAAGATCTAAAAATAATATAATAATTTCACATTCTGAAGTTAGTGATAAGCTGATAATCGTAATCATAATGATAATTTATTTGCTGAAAATAAAGTGATAAGACAAAGTGTATGAATAATAATTAAAGCCTCGACTTTATAATTGAAATTATTTACTTACTAACGATTTCTGGATCTCGACAACAGTTCGACCTACCGGATCCAATAGTGAATCTAAACCATCCAGGGGCCCACTCAAACTCACACAAAAAAAATCATCAGAATCGGCCAAGCCAGTTTTAGAGTTTTAGCGAGACTAACGAATAGCAATTGATTTTTATATATACATGGTTATTTTTCAAAGAGTAGCCAAATTTTAAACTTCACCTCAAATATATAAACAATGATATACTGTTATTGCAGTTTTTGAAAACACGAGTAAATAGGGGTTCTAATTTTATTTAAAACTAGCTGTCGTCCGCGACTTCGCCCGCGTGGAATTTACTAAGATTTCGTGGGTTTTAATATTTTTGCGCGGAACCCTAATTCTTTTTCTAAAATAAGTTTCCTATTTTTATTCCTTATAACATCAGCTATCTGCCAGTGAAAGTCCCGTCGAAATCGGTCCAGCCGTTTCGGAACAAACAGACAGACAAGCAAAATTTTTGAAAATTGTTTTTTTGTTATTAATACGGTATATATATTCATATGCATTTAATAAAAAACTGTTATTTTAACATTACAAACAGACACTTTAATTTTATTTATTTGTATAGATTGTATAGATTATCCCAAATTGAATGTGATTTTACCTACCGATCAACCCTTACGAATGTGTGCGTGCGCAGTAAAATCAGTTAAAATAATGTAGTATCATTTTGAATCTATAAGATGAAAAGGACAGAATTAGTAATTATTAATTATGAGATTTTTTTAAATAATTTTTCTTCATCATTTGCCTATATTACTTATTCTGAACCTTCTCCGTAAATTTTACCGGTTATTGCAAAATAACCCTGTAGAGATTAGAAATATACGTACACCTTTTATTGCAGACGACTCGAAGTGATTTAAGGGTACAATTATTTGTAATTATTATCGTTAACACAAAATTAGTTAGCTGTAGAACCTTTTGGACCATTGACACTAAATACGATTTACAAACAAATTATGGTACCTACTTGTTAATGGTTCCATAGTTGTTGAACGATTCGTTGCGTATTCAGAAACGCGGTGACAGTTAACCGACGTTTATCCTATAGATAACTTTATTGAATCAATAGCTAATGGGAAGTCAACTAGGAACTTCAGAAACCGGGCATTAGTCAACGTAACTCTATCGTAACTAACAAAAAGAAAACCAAATGCGTGCAAGAAAACTTTCGTCCAAGCGCGTTGCCACGTTGATGTTCTACTAGGTAGCAGTCATGTTAGTATCGCCCGCGTCAATTCCTACATAGATAATATACTGTATATAAGATTCAACCATGTACGCAAATGTGTTACACATTGAAAGCATGTCGGCATAATCCCGTAAAATCCCGCAGGATTATGCTTGATTCACGTGCGTTAATCATCCTGCGCGGAGCTGATATTTCGAGATCTCGATATCTTGGTATTATATTTTCTAGATCGAATCAAAAGTTCACAAGCGTCGGTGAAAGACTCCCAGATCCCAGAGACTAATATATTTATTAAAAACCGTGTGTGATGTGTTCAAGCAAACATGCATACAAGTTTTATTATTCGGCGTGTATTCACTTTTGGTAGGTTATAGTGATGAAGAAGATAATGACGGATTTTAAAATTTTCTATTTTATACATTTTTATTATTATTTTGAGTTGAGATGATTAAAATGCTGCTGCCCGTCTCCTGTTTTATTTCTCTCTTTCGCTTCTTGCAGCACCCACGGGATGATTATGGAGCAGTGGGTTCTTTTAAGCCGCCACTAGACTACGTCAAATCCGTATAAATATAAACGTAATTTAAAGTCTAACGTAAATTGTAATTATGTATATTAGACATTTACGGATGATGATAATATGTGTGAGCTCATTCATTTACTAATTTATGAATCGAAATATGTGTGTGTCAAAAGGTGGTCTGTCTGTAAGAAACTATTTTCGTAATAATTAACTATACTTACATTCCACGTAAACTAGGTAGGATGATGTTAGACTAAGGTGACTAATTGGTTAGTGCGGAGGTGCGATGTGTCATAATAAATTACTATAATAGCTACGCTTTTGTGCTAACGCATAAAAGCTATTTTTATTTCACCCCACGATACTCAATATATTGTTAACCTTCGCGATATTTTTGTCATCACCTTTGAATTAGATTCGGTTATCTTTGTAACGCTATTTGTAACGGTGTAACCTAAATGGAATGGAACGGTTATTTTTCTTGCTGAAATACCTTTATTTCACCGACATAAGAGAAGAGCAGGGCTTTTTGTTTTAATATTTCTAAAACAAATCAGGCGTTACATAATTGTATATCAGTAACGCCTAGTTGCTACATATTCGATAACAATAAGTTTCCTGTTTTTACTTTTACAAAATCGTTCTACTTTATTTATATACCTCTTAAAGTTAGCTATCGAAAATAAAATAAATAACTTTATATATAAATGAAAAAAAAAATAGTTTTGCTGTAGAGTTATTTTTTAAGTGGTTGCTGTGGCTCATAGACATATACATCTATCCTCAATAAAGAATCAAAATGTAGATGCGTTGTCACCCGTGAGGACTAAGATAGAATGCCTCGTTTCCAATAAAAAGGGTCTCCGGTTCTCTACACTAGCCATACGAAACGCAGCAGCATTAAGCTGTCATTTTACGCTGGTATTCTGTGAGAATGTGGTCGCTCCCCGGTCGAGTATACCCGTTCGTGCTACAATAATATAGCTGCAGCATGACAAAAATATTTGACAGCACGACTCTAAAAGCTTTTAGCATTTTCATTTAAGAAGTAAAAATTTAATATCTTAAATTTTCCATTCGACGCAGTTACTGCATTTTGATGCCAATTATGCAAATATTAGCATGTGTATCGCTCTAGTAGTAGATTAGCAACGACTTTACCTACTTACGTTAACAATAAGCATTATTATATACTGCTGCAATCCACTTGTTTCTAGTTCTCAAACTCTGAATGTGGACCGAGACAGTAAACGGTTACGGCGACGATTTAAAGAATAGATTTTTGACGACTCCGTAATCTAGTGTTTTACCGCCTAGCCTAGTGACGTGAATTTTACTTGGCTGGCTGGTCGAGGATTTGAATCCGCCTGAGATAATTTTTCTGCAGTAACAAATTGTCGGATTTCGAATCTGCAGTGTGTTTGTGTAACTCTGGTGGGATGTGAATCACTCCACTGCTGCTTTGTTTTTTCATTATTATATTATTTAAAATAACTCCGTACTAATTAATAACATAAAAAACTAGCGATCCGTCCCAATTAGCACGGTTGATGTCGGGTCACGACAACAATGCCACCTACAGTCAATCTAAACTATTCTCTACACACACAAAATTTCATCAAAATCGGTCCAGCCGTTTAAGAGGAGTTCAGTCACACAAACACAGACAGAAGAATTATATAATATGTAACATGCATGTATTATACATATAAACCTTCCTTTTGAATCATTCTGTCTATTGATGAAACCCGTATCAAAGTTCGTTGCGTAGTTTATAAAATCTATGCGTACAGACGGCGGGTAGCGATTTTGTTTTATACTATGTAGAGATACATTGGCATATAATTGGTACTGATACATTCATACAATTAAACGAAACTAAAATTGTTGAACCTCAAAACGAATCAACCACAATTCCACCAGTCACTACTGGTTACTACTACTGCACTGCTGGTTGGGTAATTAATACTTTATTATAACGCGCCTACGCCTACGCCAATGTTAGTAATCTTTGGCCTACGCAGTTGATAAAAGTATCTTGTAATCAACAAATATTATTGTCGTTACGATATAATACAGCCTATCAAGTCCACTGCTAAACATAAGTCTCCCCCCTCCACAGATTGCTTAATAGGGAAATTTTGCCATAGTTGCCATGGTTGGCAGATAGGTTGTTACGCAGTTTTTATTATTTTTAGTTTTTATCAGGTATACGCTGCTGCCCATCCCTTGTTTCATTTTCCCTCTGTTGCTTCTTACGACACCCCCGGGTATATGGGGTAACGAATATTCTTATGCCGTCACCACACACACAGTGATCAAAATATACTAGTATACTTCTTTACGTGATAAATAATAAAGGTAACTTTTAATTTTGGATTATGTAACAACAGAAATTATATTTTGTATCTTATTTGTTTGCAGCCACGTCAAGAAACGCCCATGCCTACTTGCCCAGCACTAAGTCCATCGCTTCCCGTGAGTTCAGTTACAGCCATTCCAGTAGTCAAAAAGCCATTGAAGACAGTGAAGAAGAAAGCCAAACTCAAAACCAAGCTCTCGAAAATGAAGTCTGGCATCAAAGTCGAAAACGGCGTCGTGGACGACATTGAAGAGTAAGTTAACATTTCTTTTAACTCGATTGTCCTAGAAGTAAATTAATGCTTTCCTGGTGAATGTATCTATGTTTTATGTACGTGGAAACTTCTGTAGGCTATTGATGGCTTTTAAATTGCAGGGTTTGTTAGTACAAACATTAAAATATTAAGATCATGACTACACTGTTCTAACGCCATAACGTTTTTGGCGAGCATAGGATTGGTATAGTTACCATGAAATGTCCTTTGACACTCGTCACTGTACCCTTAAACGATTACAAAAAACTGTACGTTAATATACTGTCACCTCACTCTTCAAAATATTAAAAGGGATTTTGAATCCGAAAGGCTATTATAATAGGTCACAAGAAATAAAATATACATACGTACACATAAATACTATTAAATACACTATAAAATTATAACCGATATTTTGTGAAAGAAATAGATAAAGAAAACCTACAAAAGAATTGTAGGTTGGATAATTTTTGCTGTACAACTCTAATTGAGATCATTAAACGGACAAAAAATATGTTACGTGCGACGGTACATTAGCAAAGTTTCGGGTCTTGCGTGGCGGCAGGTAATGAATAACGAATAGTATTGGTTAGCGAATAAAAATAAACTGTAATTTAATTTAATCAGTGCCAGCCCCTATTCTTTTGTGTATATACGAAAATAGCTTATATAGTAGAGTTCTTCATTGCTAATCGTAAAAAGTTTTAAGACATTTGTATACACACACACGCACACATGCGCGCGCACACGCACACGTGTGTGTGTGCGTGCGTGCGCGCGTATATATATATATATATATATATATATATATATATATATATATATATATATATATATATATAAATAATTTAATATAAAAAGTTGCAGCCCATATTATACGTCTAATAGCTGAAAGGCCTGTGTTGTGTCCTTATTTTCTCTCTTTATTTGTCTGCCGCGCTACTCCAATATTGGCGGACTTCCCTATCCTCGTAATATTTTATTCATATCCTCACGATGTTTTCCTTCACCGCCTTGCACGTGTTAAATGTGATGTTTGTTGTGCACGCCTATTTAGCGATGATGAATTGATTCACGACAAAAGTTAGTTTTCACAAAATTTTATCTACTTGTCGATAATTTAATTTCTTTCTTTTATAATTAAAGAGATGACCACACGCAATCTTTTTTTAATTCAAATTTTGAACTTAGAATCGGTTTTCTTCTGAGGTACCGTCTTACTCATCTGCATCCTCTTGCTCATCATCATATTCTCCTCCACATCCTCAAAATATGTTTCTAATACCCATCTCATCCCCATTCTCTTCCTCATAAACACTTCTTCACCAACTTTAATTATAAGATAACTTAAAATGCTTGTTTGAGGAGTGGTTCACGACAGTAACCGTGGCGGATTTGAACTTACGATTTTTTTAAATTCGCGGCCTCTCGCGGTACTGTTTTTGAAACAGAAACTTTTTTATTCAATACAGATTATAAATAATAATTATTAAAAGTCACTATTTTGTTTAATTACCACTAGTTCAAAAAACCTTTGTTCTAGGAAGAACCAGCAAAAAACCCAGCGGGACTTTAAAAAGAAATAACAACTTACAATTATGTGTGTTACACAATTAACAACACAAAACAAATTAGAAATAACTTGGTAGCGATCACCTCATTCCCAGGGGTTATTATCATCCATAAATTCCTTAATATTATAATAACCCTTTTTAAACAAACTTAGTTTATGAATAAAGTGTTTGAACTTTGAGCAGGTCAAATTTTGTATACATCGCCCCAAGAATGAATTACTGAATCGGTGGAGTCGAGTAACTGATACTACTAGCTTGTGTCTGTTCTTAGTATTTACGGAATGAATATCACTTATTTTTGTGTACAAACTATACTACTACTGCTTTATCATTAGTACCGTAGTTTTGAGATAAACTTATGAGAATACAATGTCAATTTCGATGGTATGTAAATGTTAAGATAATTTTATTTTTAGTGCAACCAGTAGATCTCCGTCGCCGGATATTTTGACGGATGGTGAATGGCTAATGGAGACCGACACAGTGGTCCCTGAAATAGAGATATTGGACAAACCCCCGCCAGCAACCGACACCAGAAAAGAGGAGATCTTAGAACATAACCTAGTTGCTAACTTATCCAGTAAACTTAACGGCACGGTCGTGTCGCCTAAGAATAATGGTAATATATTTGTGTTTTTAATTTATATTAATATACACTTACATTCTGAAATTAATATGAAAAAAATTATTTTATTGACACGAAGAAATTTTGGAAATATTTTTACGGATTTTATCGCGTTTAATATCAAAAGTCCGCTAAGTTAGTTTCATTCAAATAAATTTTAATTAATATCTTTATTCTTTACCATAAAGAAATGTATCTGTACAAAATTTTGTCTATGAATTTAAGCTGAGTATGTTTTTAAATTAGAGGTGTAATTAGTTTACCTTACTACCTTATAGGTGTGCTAATCTTATTTAAATGTACGAGGGTGGTTCAAAAAGTTCGCGAAATGGAAGGGTTAGAGAAGGGAGGATTGATTTTTTTCAACTTTCACTACTTGGTGACTCACTGCAACTATAAATACCAAATTTCAGCTAGACCGGTTCATTAACCTTTGAGAAATCACAGGATATACACGTCAATCGGGAGGTAAACACTAACAATGGAGAAAATTAAATAAGCAAGGAAAAACGACAAATATCATCATGGAAACGATGTCATCTGTTTACCCTTGCCCTGGAAAAACGTTGATTTATAAGTGACATAGCCTTTTCAAGCAAGGCAGAGACTCAATTGAGGACGATCAGCGCTCAGGCCGATTTAGGCAACTTCCTCAGACATTGTCGAAAAAGTTAAAAAACTTGTTTTTGAATATACCTGAAGAAAAACAGATCGCAGAAATTACTAGAGTAACATCTAAGACCGTTTTAAACATTCTCCAAGACCATCTTGGCACGTCTAAGGTCAGTGCAAGATGGGTGCCAAGAGTGCGAGCACCATTTCAGAAACCGTTTAGCGAGAATGGGGACAAAGTTACGAACCAAATTGTGAATGGGGGTTAAACTTGGGCTTACCACTATGAACCTGAGTTAAAGCAGACATCCATGCAGTTGCATAAAAAGGCGCCGCACCAGTTAAGAAGTTCAAGTTGTCACAATCGGCTGGAAAGAATATGGCTTCATTTTTGGGATTCAGAGGGGATCTTACTAATTGATTATAAAGATAAAGGTGTCATATCATGGAACAGTATTACGCTATGCTACTATAAAAATTGTCGTGCGAAAGGACAAGTGCACGTTTCCTTTTGCACGACAACACACCCTTTCACAAGAGTCATATTGCGATGGTTTTCTACATAAGTGTGCCTTCAACACTTTAAACCACCCTCACTGTAGTCTAGATTAGACCCCTTTGGATTATTATTTATTCCCAAATATGTAAAAAGAGCTTCAGGGAAAGAAATGTACAGATGACAAAGAAGTGAAGTCTGCAATTTCTGCCTATTTGAGGCTCTTGAGAAAACATTTTTTTTCGAAGGTACAAGTTATTTGTATATATAGTCAGACCATTCAAATAACTTGTAGTATTTACAAGTTATTAGAATGGTCTGAGTAGTGTATTAGGGTTAATGGAGAATATATCAAAAAGAAAAAATAATCTTTATCTTTTCTTCCCTTTCATTCCGCGAACTTTTTGACCTTCCCTCGTAGTATTTGATTATCTGTGGATTACCTTTGTGTGATCATGTGGTAGCGGCGGCGTAACAATCGGATCGCCTCATGGATGGTAGGTAAAGTACGAACTGAAGGAAATTTTAGGCAGATCTCTTAACCACAGATTTATTGCGATATTAACAAACATGCATATAAAAAGTCAAGGAACAGCTTATATAGGTATCCTAAATATTTTTTAATTCGTCAGACAGTGTCTTCTTGCGATGTTATTCAGCGCCGCGCATTGGCTCAATCAGTACTTAAATTAACTCGGATTGTTCACGTTTTATAAAATTTTAAGACACGTGCTTTTGACGTATATTAAACCAGATGTAAAATACCCTGATCGGCAATGAGGGGCATCAACAAAGTTGCGAAACGTCATTGCCAATCCGCCTGCCTAACATAACGATTAGGGCAAAACCTGCCTACAATGGAAGAGACCTGTGTCTAGTAGTAACCGATCATGGATTGAAAAGGGATTTTATTTAATGTATAGAATGGAAGTGACAAACGAGCACACAGACAACCTGATAGTATATAGACAACTACATTTATCTTCGATTAAGAATCAAAATGCAGATGTGTTTTCACCCCTGTGGAATACAATGGAATTCCTCATTTCCTCCCTACACTCATCATTCGAAACATTGCAGCATTAAGCTGCTATTTTACGCTGGTATTCTGTGAGAGTATGGTAAGGCCCAGGAAGGCCCCAGTGGTACCAACCCATGCTATAACCATAATATAGCTACAGTGTGGCACTACCATGTAAAAAAAATTGTAACATTGCAACTTATTGATTTGCAGAAACAAATAGCAAGGAACATCAGCAGTTCTTGACTGCGTTACATACTATCAATCCGTTTAAAACTCTGACGTCACGCAAAGGTTACAACTTGCTAAAAAGATTTTTTAAATTTATCTTCTAAGTAGAGTTCATTTAGTATTCGATGTTGAATTATAACGCACATTTTTATCTCGTAATATTTCATATATTCATATTTGAGTATCCGTACAAAAAATATAGATTTTTGACATAGTTACATACTCTTATGAAAATTAAGCTTGTTTTATTCCTTATTATCATATTTCATTTTGTCGTTCAGATGATAGTAAGTCGGAAACTTTTCTGTACATAGCTCTAAATATACTATACCGTTTAACTATTAGATACTTTACTCCCAGCTTGCATTGTATAACTCTCTTTATTTTACATTTGGGCATTATAAACTTAGCTTTTAAAGTATTTTGTAGTAATGATAAAAAGTCATTTGCTAGAAAAAATATGTATCAAAACTTTTATTAATAATATTTCTTATGTTAATTGTCTGTGAAATCACAGGTATGCCAAGTCACATTAAAAGCAGTTTGAACATGATTGTATGCCAAATAACCAATCAGACGACAGACTTATATTTTTAACATTATATTATAGATGTAAAGATATATAAATAACAATAAATTATCCAAGATTTACGTAGATATTAGAAAATTTAAATAGTGAGTAGACTGTAGCTTAATATTTTTCGAAATCTCTTTAACATAACTCTGACTACAAAAAAATTATAGAAAAAATACAGTAACAAGGGGAAACAGTAGAAAGTTAACAGGTTATTAATTATTATAATATGTTAAAAAAAATTGTAGATTTTTTTATTTTTTATAGAACTACATTATAAATTTATCAAATGCCATGCATAAGCATCAAGAATCAATATTTTTAATATATCAGTTCTTTCGAAGTTTTAACCAAAATATGTCAATTACAAAGCAGTAATCTTAGGAAATTTCAGCTTAAAATATTTTTATTATAACCTTTGAGAACACTTTTAACATAGAAGCTAGTAAGGTTATAAATAAATAAATATAAAATTCTTATGAAAGTACAAGTTTATTTATCTTTCCAATCTAAATGCGGAATTGAATTCTAGGAACCACAATTGCAAATCATAGGATATAATATTATGTGATTATAATCATTTATAAAATACTTTTGTATGGTTTACAGATTCACAACTTGCCTTGCCAGAATCAATATCAAATTGCCTCCGGCCATCCCTCTTCCCCCGTGTTCCTCCATATCTAAAGTTCATGGGGCATGAAGAAACAACTCCCCTAAAAATACCAGCACCTATACAGAAACACCTTAAGTGGAAGTTGACGACGATAACGCCTATTGTTGTAAAGAAGACCCTCACTAATTCTGGATTTAGATTAGTAAAAAGTGACTGTGATACATCGGAGTGTCCACAAGAAGGTGAGTTAAAAACAAGCTGAGCCTGTGGTTTCAAGAGACATTTAATTCAGAAATTTTGTGACTAGGTTATTTACAGATTGACATTCTTTCGGTCAATTTCGACTATAATTATTATGTATTTATAATACTGCTCATATTCATTAACTGTCATAGGAAGTGTAGTGTGCACATAAACAGATATTCCTCCACCTATAAACTTTAAATGTGGTAGAGCCATACTACAGCTATATTAATAGTATAGTTGTAGCACAAAAGGGTCGGCTCGACCGGGAAATGACCATGCTCTCACAGAATATCAGCGTAAAATAGCAGCTTATTAGCAGCATAAGGTAGCATTAACTGCTACATTATGTTTGAGCAATAAATGCTTGATTTTGAGTTTGCTGCATTTCGTTTAGTGAGTATAGAGAATTGGGGACCCTTTTTATTGAAAAAGAGGCATTCCATCTTAGTCTTCACGGCTGACAACGCATCTGCATTTTATTCGCAAACGAGGATAGATGTAGATGTCTATGGGCCATAGGAACAACTTGCTATCAGGTGGACTGTGTGCTCGCTTGTCACCCTTATAGTGTAAAAAAAACCTATACACTTAATTCTCTTAGATAGGGTCAGATCTTAGACAAGGTCAAATTAAGGCTATAACTGGATGCAGCAAGATATGATAAGAGGGAGCAGGAAAGCAGAACTTGGTTCAAGTCTGTATATTTGCTTGGATGACGAAGACTTTGAAGATCGTGGAAACTACAAAACAGAAATCACTTGTTAACATCTTTGTTAACTTGTTTTTGATTAAATTGTTTCATCATTATTACACTTACAAGTCTTAGGGACCTTCAAGAAAAGAGCTTACACCTTTCTAATAGGCTGGCAACGCATCTGTAATTCCCCTGGTGTTGCGGTTGTTCATGGGCAGCGGTAGTCACTTACCATCAGGTGAGCCGCATGCTCGTTTGCCCCCTCTTCTATTAAAAAAAATACAACCCTTCATAAGTTCACTGCTGAATATAAGCCCCCCCAAGGAATACCACAAAACACTAAATTCAATTGTTTAAATTAGCAATACACATTGAAATTTACTTACATTTCCTCTATTGCAGAGACGGTGGACTGGATTGGTATTTGGGGCAAACACATGAAATCACTCATGTTCAGAGCGATAAAGGATGGACAGAAGATGAACCATTTTCCAGGCACATTTCAAATAGGAAGGAAGGATCGGTTGTGGAGGAACCTCCAGAAGTTGGTTGCAAAGTATGGAGTCAGCGAGTTTGGTATAATGCCCAAGACATATGTGTTGCCTCATGATTTGAAGATATTGAAACATGATTGGCAGAAACATGCGGCCAATAATGAGAGATGGATTATCAAGCCAGTAAGTGATTTAATCGAGTCTTATAGCTATCATAATACAAATAAATACATAATAATGATATTATTATTATGGATTAATGTTCTGTAGAATAATTTCGGCTACGACTGCCAATCTCATGCAGACCAGCTGTCTGCACAGGACAGTATTATAGTGCATGAGTGTATGTGCAAGCAAAGGCAGATCAAATGCATTCTCTATGGGATGACAATTTAACACAACCAGAGAGAGATAAGGGATATGATTGAGTTTGCTACTGAGTATTTTATGATAAGAAAAGCTACCAAATGATTTTGGCCTAATCCTGGATTCAAACCTACGACCACATGATCAGCAGTCGCTGTTATTACCACTGGACGTTTGAATATTGTTAGTATGCTGTTATTATAGCTTGTAAATTTACTGCATTATGCAATGTAATATACTTTATATTCTGGTTTTGGTGATTTAAACTTGACTAAGCGAAATATATTATGACTCATAAAACCATTTTTATTTTTATATAATTTAATTAAAGACTACAAACACAAAATGTGAAATGAACAAACGGTGAAATGTTCTCAAAAATGCATAGTTTCTATGACAATATACAATTAAGTATTTTTCCAAATATTCGAGCGCAAATTTGTGACGTTTGTCACCCAGTATCAATTTGTACGCCGAGAACGACCTCTACATCAACTGACGTCATTGGACAAAATTTAAAATTTAGTTACTCAGTTCAGTCAGTCACTGAGCTCGCGCCGTACACGTCATCGTCATCTAGGTTCCTATACGTTCCTCCCGCTACTAAATGAAATATGCACGATTGGGAAAAAAGGCCAAAATATGCATTAACGCCGTAATTAGACAGCTATATGCTATTGCATATTTGCATATCAATTGTAATTTAAGATTTATCATTGATTTAATTATGTGTAGTTTTGTGAATAAAAAACTATTGACAATAATTTGCTAACTCGAATTAAATGAGATTATTTCAAATTAAATTAATATTGTTATGTAATGGCGGCATAAGAGAATCTACTACCCCATGTCATCTCGTGATTGTCATATTGGCGTGAAACAGGAGACCAACAGAAGCATGTTCCTAATAACAATTAAAGTTAATAAGAAAACTGCTGCTGCCCACGCCTGCCAAACATGGTAGACTCAGTATAAGTTGGTCTTCCACTTGACGGCGACATATGGCAAAAGTTTGCGTGTTGACAAATCAAGTGAAAAGTCACTATACAGTGTTACATCTGTATGTCGTCCGTAAATCAGATGTCATATCGCTGTTGTGTTTACTAAAAAGAAAAGGTTCTAACTAACTGGGTCTTTATTTCAATACCTTTAACTGTTCAAAAAATTAAATAGTGCAGTAAAATGTGTGAGAAGTCACAAGCAAGTAAATAAGTATATTTATTATTGTTTTAGCCTGCGTCAGCACGCGGCACGGGAATCAAAGTGGTATCCCGTTGGACCCAGATCCCAAAAAAGCGACCTGTGGTAGTGCAGCGTTATGTAACAAAGCCTTACCTCATCAATGGCAACAAATTTGACATGCGTCTGTATGTGCTGGTCACGTCTATGCATCCATTAAGAATTTATTTATATAAGGATGGTTTGGCTAGGTTTGCCTCCGGTGAGTAAGGTTTACTGAAGTTCGATTTCCAGTGTTGGTGACTAATGCCATTCTAATTGTTAACTAAATTAATGCTAAGTGTTACGTGGTAGAGCCACTCTGTAGCTATATATAGCTACAGCATGAAATGGTCAGCTCGACTAGGGTATGTCCACGGTCTTACAGAATACCAGAGTTAAAAGTTGTAAATGAATTTTAGTAACAAGTAACAGGGAGGGCTAGAAACAATAAATTTTTTTACAAAAATTTTAATGCTCTGCTCGGCAGTCTAATGAAATATTTAAGAGAAAACTTGCATGTCCTGGAAATGCTTTTACTTGGTAGAGAGCCATGCTGCAGCTATATTTCTGGTATAGTTGTAACGCAAATGGGCCGGCTCAACCGGGGAAGGACCACGCTCTCACAGAATACCAGCGTAAAATAGCAGCTTAATGCTGCTGTGTTTCGTATGGTGAGTGTCTCTACACCGGAGACCCTTTTTACTGGAAACTGAGGCATTCCATCTTAGTCCTCACGGCTGACAACACATCTGCATTTTGATTCGTAATCGAGGATAAATGTAGATGTCTATGGGCCACAACAACCACTTACCATCAGGTGGACTGTGTGCTCGTTTGTCACCCTATCCTATAAAAAAAATGCAATAAAAATAATACAAAGATTATGAAGTCCAAGAGAAAATAGCAGAAACTTGTATAATGATATTATGGACCTAACTTATTTCTTTAATTGTAAAATACATCAGATTTTATCATAAGCCTGCATTTTTATACAATATTTGTTTCATTTCATTTACATTGAAAATTGGCCTGGATAATATCTTATTATTTTTGCTTTATACCCCAAAAATAGGGTTATTTCAAAAACTATAGGATATTTGTTTTATTAATTAAAGTTTGTTAAGGAAGAAGTTATTGTAATTTCTTGGCCTTATTTTTCAGTTAAATACAATGACGAGCTAGCGTCATTGAACGATAGGTATATGCATTTAACAAACTACTCTATCAATAGACTCTCGAAAAACTATACGCCAAACGAGGACTTTGCGTCTTGCGAAGGGCATAAATGGTAAGGACTAATCTTTTTTCAATCAAAACATAGAGTAATAAGTGAGTTGTAATGAGTTATTATAATAAGGAATTTCTTTTATTCAATTACTTGATAACTATAAACAAATTTTAAAATTATTAACATAATTCCCATCATAAGTGTATGACTACTCAATTGTTTGTTGGTTCTTCAACCTCTATGGATGGCTCATTGCCATTTCAGCTTCCTATAATACAGGGTTATATTTTGAAAATATACATGTGTATATTAAGTTTTTTGTTTTTAAAGTTAAGACTGTGCATACCTTCTTATAAAAATATAAACAGGTAAAATCTAAAAAAAAAATGTATAAAAGTTTTAATAGAAATATTATATTACACGAAAATATAATGCTCCTTTTGTACTCAAAACACTTGTGCTGTCTATTATTTCAGGACTCTTAGAACACTATTCCACTATCTAAAGACTGAGCGAAGTGTAGACACGGACGCACTTTGGGACTCCCTTAAGGACTTAGTAATAAAGACAATAATATCAGGCGAGGCAAGCATTAGTTCCCTTACCAAAGCCAATATTACATCACGTTACAATTGTTATGAGTTGTTTGGAATTGATGTGTTATTAGACGAAGATTTGAAACCTTGGTTATTAGAAGTAAGTATCTCCAACTATTGAAAGATTGGAAGGTGTAAAATCTTATCTATGTTTTAATTTTAAAATAGTTTGTTCAGAAGGCTTTTTTTAAGGTTAGTTGTGTTCTCGCAATTGTCATTTCAGTTTACGGAAATACGTGCGACACATTTGTATAGTATCACAATTGAGAGATTAAAGTTGGCAAAAAATTATTTCGCGTACATCCGCTCGATAAAATAAAATGATGTGTCTTACCTAGTTTGAAGAGTACCTCCCGCCCTCCCTTAATTCCGTGCACTCACCGTCACCATTAATCCCAGCACCAATACTCCCAACACCATTACACTAGGAAAGACACACCATTGACGACAATACGACACGTGTTTCGCCTCTACACGAGGCATCTTCAGGTAATCTAGACTCTGCGGTGGCTGACCGCTAAGAGATTTGACTTAGCGGTCAGCCACCGCAGACTCTATTGTCGTCTAAAAATTGACTTGGCAATCGTACTAAACAATCTAATTTAAGGCTTTAACTAGCCTGAATGACCTTGACGAAACGGCGATCGCAGAGATTTTAGCCGATGTCAACACCGTCTAGCAACTACGTTCTGTATTACTTATAAAAGTGCAAAGATTAATAGACTGCAGAGATGACAATTATATAAGTGACATACTGCCTGTTATGCTTGCGCATCACTGAGAACTATGTCGCGGTTACGCATCTTCAATTACATTGCACGGTGTGGTGCTGTAGCTTTGTCCGGTAGGCATCACGAGCTATCAAGTGTTCAAGTTTCAAGTATGTAAGAATTTTTATTATATATGTTAAATCGTATTTATTTGTATCGTATTAGTAGATCTGGGTCAAAGCGTTCGCTGTAAATATTTTCCCGGTTTTGATTCCCGACAGCACGAATGAAATTTGTAATTGCAATTTTCGTCAACACGCATTGGGGAAGCACGGCGGGTATTTACTTGCCCTAAAACCCACTCAGAAATAAAAAAAGAGTCCTGTGCCCAGTAGAGGGACTTGTATATATATTACTTTACTTTGTAGCACTATTTATATTCGTTTCAGATATAGAAGGGTACCTTATGCTGACAAAAATATCATGTGGAGGCGACGAAAACGTAAAACATCTTTGTACCTAGATAAAACGTTCGAAAGATTGTCAGTCATGTCATACGCCACATTTTCTATAGAGCGTAGAACATTGCAGATAGGGCAAAATAAAAAATAATCCAATATATTATGGGAACTATTTATTAATAATATATACATTTATAGGTATTTATAATAAAAATAATGAACAAGCTGCAAGGTTCAACTAATAATGTTTTTTGTAAACACAATCGTAAAATTCCTGTTTTAATTTTTACCGATGGTTAATTGATGAAACGTAGTCCAGATCACTTTATATAAAATATATTTAATTAAAATTGACACGTGACCAATTTGGCCTTCTACTTACAACTCGGTGGAAATTTGAAAAGAAGATTTTGTCTTTTCACACAAGTATTGTTTACAACTGGCGTGGTTTCGAAAAGCGTGATTAAGTGTCAGCGGTATATAAACAATTAAACACTGAACTTTATTGAAATTTATTTTTTTGTTTATTTTTGTTATATCTTCTTAAAAACTGACGCCATCTCACTATTTTATTATATGTTTTTTTTGTACGCATAAGGATAAGTTAGACTAAGTTAGATTAACTTGGACAAGTTTATATTTTTTTGAATTTTATCACAAAATTTCCGCAATAAATTATTACCTTTTCTACAGTGATTCTCTCCTCTTAGTTTCGGCGTGACTGTAGGATGTTATAGTAAGTCACCGTCAGTTACTAAGCGGTCATAAATCAATATATGTATGTATAGACATACATATATACATTTTTTGATTTTAATATTTATGTTTTTTGAATTGTGATTGATTTTTTGAGACCTGTTAAAATTATTTTTTTCCATACCAATTGATGGGCCTGAGTATAATGCCAGTTATGCTCTTTGGCTGAAGTTATTTTTTATTTTATGCTCAATTGCAGACAAAACAATATTAATTGCGCATTTCTAAAACAAAATTTTACCTCTTCTCCTTCTTATAATAGCTCCTGCACCTACCACGGCGGAATAGTTATTATTATCTATAAGCCCATTTGCAGAAACAGTTTTTGTTAACAGTTATGAGTGTAACATTTTATCAGCGGCTTTGTTTATAGTGCCTTGAGCAACACTTTACCGGTTTCTGTACAGAAAATGATGCTGGCTTTGCCAATACGGATGGCGGCTACCATTGAATATAATACCCGCTATGTTACACTTATTTACATAGAAACTTTAATTACCATTTGCACAAAATTCTAAATAGTACTTTTTACACAAGAAAGTAAACTTTTAGATCAGTCCATTTTGTTTTTCACTAATTAAGTAAAAAGTAAAACAAACCAATAGGGCCGGGAATTAAAATTTCTTGCAATTTTTTATAGAAAAGCATGACCTTATCATAATATAAAAGTCAATCATTTAGCCATGTGATAAAACTTTTAAGTGTGCCAGTCAAACATTAATGATGATATTCGGGTCATTATACTGGAAATAGTCTGTTAAATATTTTATAGTACAATTGATAATCTTCAGTATGATTGACCGTGTATATGACTTTTATAATACTATGTTATTTTTGATGAAAATTATTATTGCAGATAAAAGCCCTTTCACATTTATTTATATATATATATATATATATATATATATATATATATATATATATATATATATATATATATATAATATATATATTATATATATATTATAGTTCTTGATGAAAATAATGTATGCGCGTTACATCGCATCCCATCAAGAATTTCTAATGTAATTCTTGGTGTAAAGTTAAGACGTGATAATAACTGTAAACAATAGAATAACAAAATAATGAAAACATTTACATTTGCATACAAAACATTTACAAAAATACTTGCTTTATAACCTAATAAATATTATTTGACCGTAATAAAATAAAACAAGGTAATCTTGGGCATGAAAGTAAAACTAAATATTTTCGATTATTTTTGCAATATCTAACAGCCGGATCAGCGGGCGATTCTGATCCATCTAAAGATGCTAAATTTCAGCAAGCACTGTCAAATTCAATAGGAGTGACAGAAAAACGGTTCTTGATATAGAAAGGTAAATAAATTATTTAAGCTATAAAGTAAAATCACTTTATTACAAATCAAAATAGCCCAATAGATTTATTAACATGAGACATAATTGTACGAGTGCTTACAATACTTAATATTATTTTACTGAAATCTCAGAAACTTTTTTTTAAATAGAATAAGGGTGACAAACGAGCACACAGTCCACCTGATGGTAAGTGGTTGCTACGGCCCATACACATCTACATCTATTCTCGATTACGTATCAAAATGTAGATGCGTTGTCACCCGTGAGGACTAAGATGTAATGCCTCGTTTCCAGTAAAAATGTTCTCCGGTTCTCTACACTCACCATACGAAACACAGCAGGGTTAAACTGCTATTTTACATGTTATTCCGTGAGAGCGTGGCCCTTCCCCGGTCGAGCCGACTCATTCGTGCTACAACTATACCTAATAAATATAGCTGTAGCATGGCTCTACCACGTAAAAAAAATTGACGTTGAAAATTGAAGTATTTTTAGAAGCAACTTGCAATTATTTTCTATTGAGTTAATTTTTGTGGAATCGTGTTTTGCAAACCGCCACCTAAAATACGTACAATTTTTTTTCGATAATGACGTGAAATTACAAAACGATCCCCATGCATTTCAATGTGGCTCTATTCAGCCTCTTAATATGAACATACCTCGGATTTCAGAGATAATGTAAGATATAATATTATATTATTACTGTTCCGTGTGAGGAAACCTTTATACTTATATAGATATTCTCATCATATTTTTATGGTTGGTTAGAAAATTTATATCTAAATGCAAACTTTCACAGGGTCAATTTTTTTTTAATATTTTTACCCAGCAAGTAGTAAAGCAACTACAACCATCGGTAAGTGGTTATGTAGTCTAAGATGGTGAATTGCACTGACTTAACAAAAACCTATTCACTCTTGCCTAATAGTACTAGGTAAGTATTATTTGCGACCTATTTGTGTGTGTGTGTATATGTGTGTGTGCGCGCGTGCGTGCATGCGCGCGTGTGCGTGTGTGTGTGTGTGTTTGTGTGTGTGTGTATGTGTGTATGTGTGAAGAAAAGTGTATGAGAATACGTGAAGAGGAATAAAGGTTGAGTACTAATTCGCTTACCTGTACGAGGTTGCCACTCGAGGACCTTTCTTCCTATTTTTTATATGTTTTCCAAGTTATATAATCAGCCCATTGCCATTTCACTGTAATATTCCGTTGAGCTATGTCAGTTACTCTGATTCTAATGCAAATACCTTCATTTCTAACTTTATCACGTAGAGAAACCCCTCTCCAATTTAAAATTTTTACATTTTTTAGATGATAGTTTGTCTAACATAAAAAAAACCATAAACCCAAGAATGTCTTTATATATTTAAGCACCATTTTTATTATTTATTTAAATTGTTTGATTTAATTTGATAACAGTGTACCTAAATGAAAGTATCTGTATCTTTATTTCTCTCCCCAATAATATTTTATAAAGTCATACTTATAAAAACAGCGTTTTATTGTAATACATAATTATAAAATTCATTATCAACTAATTAATAAAAATATGCGTCAATAAAATTACATAGGTATTAAAAACGATCGAAATCTAAGCAACGAGAGCATGTTCATCGTTCCACATCTAAATTATATAAAAATGCATTTTTCAATTTCACTAATCAACGTCGCCGCAAAAATTTCTTCTTCTTTGGGCACTTTAAAAATTCATTTATTTAGAAAATAATATTTACAGTTACCAGTGTACAAATATTAACTAAATTAGGTATTTCTAGTCATAAAAATATTTATAATTGAGTATAAACTTTTAAAAAACTAATATATATTTGAACGAAGTCGCTCCAACACCGACGTGCGGTCCACCCTCGACGATGTCCGAAAACGGACTGTGACAGAGCTTACATGGCGACGGAGCATGCGCGCTCGCGTAAATATATCCAATTTCAGGGAAAAATGATATATTCTCTTATAAAACGGGCAATAAAAATAAAACTCTCAATTAAAAATATTAATATTTTTAAGACCTTTTTTTTAGTGTAAGAACTATTTAAAAAGCTTGTGCCGTTTTGGAGAAATTTTGCAAAATATGACAAAGATAGGTACTCTTTGGGGATTTTTTTTCTAATAAGGGGTTGACAAAAATACAATTTTGTTAAATTAAAAACATTTACCAAATCTTCTTCTATTACTCTGTATTTTTTCTTTGTGGATTAAATAAACAGTTATTGAGATTTTTTTACTTAAATATCCTAGATTTAGGCATTTCAACCACTGTTAAGGCCTTAATATAATATGTATTACTTGAGAGATACATTGTGTTTTCACGCGATGGCCAAGTCAATCTATTTATTTAAAATATAAAAGATTTTTAGTATTGATACGGTCACTATAAGATGTTGTTAGGTTAGCTAATTATTATGTATAACTTGAGACAGAAGGACCCTTAAGTAGGGACCGAATAAATTAACTGATGATTTAAATTTTCTTTCTGAAATTTAAATCACCTCATAAGTCATGCCGGCCTGGTGGCAAAAAAAGTGGCCCTCATAGAGGTAAATTGTTTGATTTCAGGTTAATATATCGCCGAGTTTACACAGCGCTTCACCTCTCGATATCCACGTAAAGGGTCCGCTAGTGTCCACTGTGCTCAACATAGCACAGTTTCAAGTGCCTTCTAAGACAAATCTGGACATGCTATCAAAGGAAAAACCCAATAAATTGGTAAAATGGCTACTTGATTAATACAAAAATCTTTTACAAAAAAATTAACATCAGTGGCTTTAGTTAAGTTTAAGAATTAGAAAAAAGAATGTTATGGAGAAACCGAACCGAAATAAATAAATAATATTTATTTTTTACACAAATATTAATTGTGCTATTATATGTAAATTTCAGGCGGGCTTACCCTACGATAGTAGATTATACACAGTGTACCTGTCAAAAGAAGAAAGAGATAAACACATTATTTACACAAATACGGACGACCGTGACTTGGTAAGAGAATTTTGACATTTTTTTTCCGTAAAAGTGACCAATATCCACCAGTAAGTGGATGCTGTGGCATACACAGAAACATCTGTTTTCAATTAAGATTCAAAATGTAGATAAAATGTTACCCCTAAGGACTTAGCTGATCTTGTTAGCATTTTTTTAAAACAAGCATGGTCTATGGTTTTTGATATTCACCATATCAAACACATCAGTATTATGCTGCTATTTAATGTTGGTTGGTTGGTTGGTTAGAGTGTGGTTTTGTTCTGATGTGGATGTGATGGTGGAGCTGACTGATGCAGCATAATATAAATACAGCGTAGCTATTTCACGTATTTGACTTTAATATTTTTGCCGACCTCAAAGATATTTAAATATACAGGTATACTATAGAGCGGACATAGGCAACATTAGCGTACAAAAACTTGAGCTCGCGCGTTTGTGACACCCTCTAGCAAAACATAGCAACACTACGCTGAATATTTATTAGGAAAACATTTCAGCTATTCCCCAGTAGGTGATGCTAATAAATGTAAGGTAAAAACCGGTTTTAGGAATGTTACTGTTTCGACATCAAAGTATCGATAATGTTGTTAAAGGTTACTAAGTTAGTAATGCTTTACGAAATAATAATAGGGAATATGCATGCTTTTTTGTTATATATCTATTTATTATGACTCCCATCACAACAAAAAATCATATAAATTTTTTGAGTCGTGCATAAAACATAATAAATGAAATGAAATGTCATGAAATAAAATATTAAATTTCCACTAACTAAGAATCAATTCAAACAGCAGTCACATTGGTGGCAACTTGGATAACGTCATTAGAGGTCCATTAGACGCTATAATAATAGCATATGATTGGTCGGTCGGCGTCGAAGGCACATCGCGAAACGTCAAATCCAATAAGACAGCGCCTCCATGTTTTTCAAATGCGTTTCTTTTACAAAAATACACCTTAAATCTAACATATTTTAGGAAAGCACTGAACTTAAAAGTCGTTACACGATAAATTATTATAAAAATTCACAAGCTTGCGCATTTATCACTAAAAAGACCTTCGTCGTATCTCCTCAATTTCAGAGCACTTCTCTTATTGCCGCAGCCAGTAGCGGAATCTTCGGCGTCGACATATTGAGTGATCTGCAGTAGCATGGTCACTTGGAAGAGGAAGCTAAATTGGCTTCTAAAAAGCTTGGCGTACTCAGTAGGTAGAGCGGGACAGTATTTCATGCCTGCACACCGTTTGCAACTTTACAAGCGTAGGTTCGACCTCACATGGAACTACTGTCCTAATTTCTGCGCCGGGGCTCTCCAGTTGACCGCATAGAGAGCAGAGCGGCTCAAATTGTCGACGACCGAGCTCTCTTTGATTGACTCGATTCACTGGCGCTGCGTAGAGATGTTGCATCCCTTTGCATTTTCTATCGTATTTACCACGGGGAGTGCTCTGAGGAATTTTTCGCATTAATTCCAGACACCAAATTTCACCAACACACATCGCGACAAAACTTACGTTACCATCCACATCATTTGGATGTTTGGCGGCACGGAGCAAATGCAAAGAGGAAGTGTTGTAATTAGATTTCTCTATGTAACTAGGCATGACAATTTGCGGGGTGAGGGGATGTTAAGCCCCGCCCACTTAACTATTTTCCATCTACCGATAAATAGTAAAACTACTCGCATCGTTCCATATCGACGTTGCAATGTAGTTTAGCTGCCTTGACAATAGATGGCGGCCTGTTCACAAAATGATTATAAAAACTATAGAAATAATATTTTGGCGATTAAAGAGTCTATAGGACTGAATGCAAAACATAGGACAGGGGGATGAGTCGCTCGCGTCCGTAGGCTTCGACCACCTAACCCTAGGCCCACCCTACACGTGTCCCCCGGGTGGTGCTAAACGAGCGACAATGCCGAAACGATAGACTCGGCTCCTCGCCGTAACGATAGACTCGGCTCCTCGCCGTATGGTAGCGGCGTAAAATCTACCATCCCTTAGTCGCACCATGAGCCAACAATTTAAAGAAATGGCCCCGAGTTCCCGGCGCCCCTTTAATGGGGCAGGGGTGCGAAGTATCTCCGGGAGGAAAACCGGCGACGAGGTTCGCCACCCGTCACGTACTGTCTCCCGGAGAGGCGAAAAGTGGATTGCGGAGGCCCGTCTGGCTGCGCTGAATGTATGTGGAACAATGAATGATAAGATGGATAATATATGCGAAATGATGAATGATAGAGGAATAGATGTGTTATATGTGAATGAGACGAAACGAAAGGGAAGAGATGTTACTGCACATGGCATGTATACCGCTTACTTGTCTGGTGTAGACGAGACCGAGCGGGCATGCCAGGGAGTCGGTGTCATCCTTTCAGAAAGAATGGGTTAATGTGTGAAAGAGTATGAATGTGTAAGCCCAAGGCTGCTGTGGATACGAATGAAAGTGGGCTTAAAGAAGTTGTTCGTGCTTAGGGTGTACGCCCCAGATATGTCTAAGCCCACTTATATCCAAGAGCAGTTTTGGGACATGGTAAGGCTGGTGTTGACGAAATTTAAGGAAAATGAAAATATTATTATGTTAGGAGATTTTAATGGAAGGGTTGGGGTGAAGAGGTCTGGTTATGAAAGGATATTAAGAACGTTTGGCGATGAAAGAATAAATGAGAATGGTGAAGACCTCCACAGTATGTGTGGAAAATAATCTTTTTGTGGCGAACACTTTCTTTCGCCATAAGAGGATTCACATGTATACTTGGGAAAGAGGGGATGATAGAAGCATGATAGATTTTATAATTGTGGATGAAAGAATGAGGAGCGCAGTGGTAGATACAAGGGTTTACCGTGGGGCGGATCATTACTTGGTCTTATGCCGAATTAATGGTCTATTCAAGCGTTGGCGGCATCGGACATCTGTGTCTACCACTGCGTTATAGCGTATAAGAATAGAGAGGTTACAAGAAGAAGGTGTGAAAGAGAAGTATAAATGCAAACTGAGGGAAAATATAAGTGTGTTGAATGAATTATGTATGAATGATTTAGACCTGAAGAATGTATGGAATAATGTTAAGAAAGTTTTGGTGGATACAGCCATCGAAGTATGTGGTGTAAGTAAGAGAAAGAATGAAAGGAAAAGTAATACGTTGTGGTGGGATGATGAGGTACGTATGGAAGTTGAAGCAAAGAAGAGAGCATGGCTAGATTTACTAGCAGCCAAAGCTGGAAATTCTGGCGGTATGAATGATAAGATTGAAAGAAAAAAGGCAGACTTTAGACGTATAAATAAGAGAGTAAAAGAAGTTGTTGAAATGAAAAAGCAAGAAAGGCTAGATAAGAATGATAGAAGGATATCTGATAACTTCCAGGCAAATATTAAAATGTTCTGGAAGCTCGTAAGAACTGCCAGGGGAAATTCAAAACAGCCTAGAATGAATGCTATACGAGACGAGAATGGCTGCATGCTGAATGATGAAGTTTCGAATTTAAAGAGATGGAAGGAATACTTTGAAAGCGTGTTTAAGAGTGAAGAGTCGTCTGAAGTAAGTGAAATAGAAATTCCGGAAGAAGTTGAGAGAGGTAGGGAGATAAGTTTAGATGAAATAATGAAAGCAATGAAAAGCATGAAAGCAGGTAAGGCAGCCGGATATGATAGAGTATCACTCGAAATGCTAAGGGCTGGAGAGGGTGTGGTTGCAGGCCTGCTGTACACTTCGTTTAATTTATGTTGGGAACTGTAGCGGGTACCGGAAGACTGGTGAAAAGCCGTTGTAGTCCCAATATATAAGGGAAAGGGGTTGCAGCAGGACTGTAAAAACTACCGTGGTATCAGCTTGCTTAGCATTGTGGATAAGCACTGCGTGATGAAATACGAATTTCATCACGCAGGGAAACTCAAAACATAGCTCCACTCATAGCTCATTGATCTACATAAAATTTTCTCATTTGTCGGTAAGAATGAAATCATCCCCAACAATGAGAATTTTAGAAGACCTTACTTTGTGCTACTTATTACCTTTGCAGCGTTTATAATTTGATGCTTAATCCTGTTAGTTAATGACATTTACAATTCAGCGGCACGTCCACCAGACCAAGTTAGAAGTCCTCCGGTTATCCCCCGTTAATTATAACAGAGTTTGCGGACGGTCCACGTTAAAAGCGAAAAAATGCTTATAATTAATGGAATATTTTACGTAATTTTGCAAATTATATAGGATATAACAGCGCGCGTGCTAGTTAAGGGGCTAAGCGAGAGTATTAATTTTTAAAGATTTTTTTTATTTTAAAATAAGGGTGACTAACTGACATTGCCGTGTAGTGGCGGTCAAGAATATCCACTACCCCATATCTTCCCGTGGGTGTCGTAAAAGGCGACAAAGGGAAACAGGCAGGAGATGGGCAGCAGCATCTTCCTGATAGTAGCCGAAATTACAATAAAATAAAACTGCGGTTGCCAACCCGGTTGTATGCTAAAGTGTTAATTGAAAGAGTTATGGAAGAAACTGATGGAAAAATTTGGGATGTGCAAGCTGGATTTAGAAAGGGTATGGGGTGTACGGATCAAGTCTTTTCCATGTGCATGATTGCGGAGAAATTTTTGGCCAAAAACCAGAAAGTTTTTTGTGCGTTCATGGACTTAAGTGGTGTTATTGCATAAGCGTTACATGAGGCACAAAAAAGTTAGTAGTCAGTCAGTATAATATCTCATTCACAGTTGTTATCTCCTAACAAAATTTGGACGTAGTCACCATCGACCAAGAGTAAGCCATTGTCATGTTCTTTTAACAGCATGATACCAACCTAGTTTAACATAAAAACGTAAATACGTAATAAAAATTAACTTTTGATAAAAAGAAAAAGCAGACTTCAAAAAACTAAAAAAAATCACAGTTTAAAGTATTCTCAATACTAAGCTATACTGTATAGAATAATCAAAGCCTTGACTTCAGAATGTGAAATTATTTTATTCTTTTTAGTCATCGATATCATTAATAAAAAACTAGATATTATATGTGGTAGAGCCATGCTGCAGCTATATTAGTAGTATAGTTGTAGCACGAATGGGTCAGATCGACCGGAGAAGGACCACGCTCTCACAGAATACCAGCGTAAAATAACAGCTTAACACAGCTGTGTTTCGGATGGTGACTGCGGAGAACCGGAGACCCGGAGAACCGGAGTGTAAAAACTACTTAGATAGACGCTCTGATAGACTTAGATAAAAATAAATGCGTGAGTGTCGTGGAACACCCGGTTGGAACGAAGTTCCTTGCGTAAATATATTATTATTGATAAACGTAGGTATTATATTATTGATCAACAAATACAAATAAATGAATTACTAGCGTCTATTCAAATGAAGCGTCATTTCAAATAAAATAATATTTCTTTCATAGCAAGACAAGAAAAAGTGCGATAGAGATGGATATTATTCCATCTCACTTCCTTATTTCGCCGTCAAGGTCGTCTACGCTATGACACAAGGGGTAGTGCCGAAAAAATCTTACACTTTTTGTCGCCTAGCTCCCATCCGCCAAACCTGTATCGTCCGATAAGGAACTTCATTCCAAAAAATGTGATAGGTGGGTAGCCCATCATCTACTCAATCACAAACCCAAAACCCCATTAATCGCTTTTTACGAAATGCTAGGCCAATAACATAGTCGGCAAATCGTTTTTGCTGTAAGTCCCCCATAAACATTGGACCTAAGTCCCAGACCAACATGAAACATATATTATGTTATTAAATATAATAATGCAAAAATTTCCAAACAATATAATTTTTTTGCATTTATGTTAAGATCTTTTCTGCCGTCTTCCAAATAGGAGACGGTACTCAATTCGACTGTTAGTTTTTTTTATGTGTGTTACCTCATAACTTTTTACTGGGTGAACCGATTTGGATGATTCTTTTTTTATTTGAAAGCTGGTACTTCTCGTGTGGTCCCATATGAATTTGATCAAGGTCAGACCAATAGTTTTTGAGTTATTCTTAATAACTTATATTGAAGTCGGCAGTACAAAATTTTAAATTATTTTGTAGTATCTTCGAGACATTCTATCCACTTTGACACCGGACGACGTTCGCCATCTAATACAAGCAGAGGATGAATTAACACAAACTGGGGATATGGAGCGAGTCTTCCCTACCAATGAAACACACAAGTACCTGGGATTTCTAGCTGGACCGCGGTATTATAACCGTCTCTTTGATGCCTGGGAAGCACGCTACGCGGTCAACCGGGAACCAGGTATAAAAACATATTTATTTTTCAATTTCTGCCTGTACAAAGTGAACTGCTGTGTGTAGGCTTCTCCACTTCAGTGGAATAATTGTTTACTATGATATAATATATCATAACATAACATATGTTATATTATAACCTTCTTGTTAAAATATAATTCAAATAGGAATTGAGTTATTTTTTATCAGCCCATAAGAGTCAACATTTGAGCATAGACCTCTTTTGTTGTAACGAAGATTTACGATTATCTGTAGCATTACTATACTCCTCGTGATTTAGTGTCGGAGCTTCATCGCCGATGCTGTTTTTGTGGCATATCCTATAATCACCTCTTAAGAAACCTAATGACCAAAATAAGGTGATTTATTCTTTCACGCCGCCCCTACGTGGTTCATTATTTTAGTTATAGTACAACGGACGGACTTACAATTGGCTCAGTAAAATTCCTATGGCATTGCATATTTTAAAGTAGCCTCACAATAATTGGAACCCGAGTTTATAAGGAGTATATTAGCTTAAAGCAGTAAAAATACAATAAAATATAATAATATAACAAAATGCGCGTGAGAACACACGCTAATGCAGACGACAGACAGCTTTTACAGCGGTCTTTTTCTGACTACAAAATGTTTTGATATCTAAAATAAATATTAAATATTATATTAAAATATACCACAATATTTGAATGTTCATGATGCAGGCAAGTGTGAGGATGCGTGCATTGTTTCTGTGTAAAACTCTGACTCCCTTCGACTAAAGTTGGTCATTGATATGAAAATTGGCCAGCAACTAAAAGGTCACCAATGTTTGGATTTAGCATGATAATATAATTTTTCGTTTATTTAACTTTGTAATAAGGCGGAATGCATGTCATGTACCAACCCTGAGAATTATTCATTTCATGTGGATGACTATTAATTTATTCTTCTTGTGATTTTGGTAGTCAGAATACCATATGATTGCATCCGAGTTTACCTTAGATATAGCATTTTTGCAATACTAAAATATAACAAGCCCACTACTGGACATAGACTTGTGCAGGAATCTGTTTTTCAAAAAAAAAAAAAGAAACTTGCTGGCATGCATTGCTTGAAACATTTACCCGCAATCACTATGCTTAGCAGACGGGTTGGAAGATTTTAAGTACCGGCAAGATAGTCAAGGATTCTTTACTTTGGCAATAATCTCGTACTGGGAATGTTTCTTGCCATTACCAGTGTGTGAAATTTATATTTGGTATTTTTAGGCGGATTATACGTCATTGGCCAGTTGGAGCCCCGTCTAATGAACACAGGCTGAACCTCATATAGCTAAAGTTAAAATTTTGAAATAAATGAACATTTTAATCTTATTAATAATGAAGACGGCCCAAATTAAAAGAACCTTTAACCTACGTGTATGTATATGCGCAGATATATGGATGTGAAAAAGCTAGAGAGGTAGTTTAGGATTGGGTAAATGGAAATCCATAGTCTTTAACCTTCCCTCTGTTTGATAGGCGTGAGAGTTTATGTATGCGTGTTTGTACAAATTGCGTACAGCAAAGCAGTGAAATAATTTGCCACCTATAACGTGGGTGTCTTCAAGGCAAGAGTGAATAGACTTTACCATCTTCGAATGCATCACCACTTACCATCAGGTGGGTGGTGGTTACCATCATAGTAGTCAAGCAATTATAATCGTTAAAAATATGTATTAGCTGGTGTGGCAGATGTTCTGCCACACCAATTAATACTGTAAAGGAAAGGAATATACTGAAAGGAAAGGAATATACTAAAATTCCTTTCCAGTATAACTAATATACTGGAAAGGAATTTTACTCTGAATTCGCTACAACTTTTTACATAGTATATATAAAATTTATTTGTAACTCAACCATATATCTCCTATCGGGTCCATATTTTTTGATTTTCTTTTTGGTCACTAATCCTACATCACATATTGTGAATATGAGTCATTTTGGTCCCTATATAATATATAAGAAACCTGTCCGATCAGTAAGAGTACTTTTAGATATCAGAATATTATTTTGTTGATACACATGAGACTAATTTAGAGCTAGAAAGACCAGTCTATATCATACTTACACCTAACTTTTTAATTTATATTAATTGCAGGTATTGAGCTGCTGCGTAAGCTGTGCGCCATTGGCTATCACCTGGAGGCGCCAGCCGTGCCGTTGCAGGTAACTGTCACGCGTCGCGTCCAGCTGTGGCGGCCGCTGCAGCTGTGGCAACTGTTGCAGCCGTTGCAACTGTGGCAGTTGTGGCAACTGTGGCCGCCGCTGCAGCTGCTTCTCGCGCTCCTATCCCTCTGCATCGCCCGCCTTTGGTGAAATCACTCCCGCTTACATCTTCTGTTTATTACTATGCTCATTTGCAATTCTTACCAGATTATACGCTGAACACGCATATAATGTGTCACACAAAGTGTAGTCATTTATTTAATTTTATTGGCTCCTTGTCTTCTATCTCTTCTCCATGAGATGATCATTTATTTAATATTCATGATCCTTTATATTTATATACTTCTAAGTATTTACGCAAATAGGATCCAATACCACGAAGAGATAATTTTATGGAACTGGTATTTGAAGCTTAGATCGGTATAGCATACAATTTTGTTCGTTTTCTACACTGACTTTCGCCGGAATTGGTTTACCATAGGTCACAATGTGTTTTGGCATATGAGATAACTCATTTTTGATGCAAGTGTGTGTTGGATCGTTATTACGTAACTACGTCCGTTTAATTTCTCACTCGAAATATAGATAATATATACTTGTAATTGAGTATTAATATATAATACTTCCACTTTTAATTAGGGATGTAAATACACATGTAAAGATACATTACCGATAACTGAAATAAATAATAAAAACGTTAGTATGTGCTTTGTACAGAGCATAGAAAGAAAGCGAAATTGTATGTGGCTTCTATGGATAATTATAAAATATAATATGGTGGTTATGTAATGGGGGCGTAATAGAACACGTTATCCATATCATACCGTGGGTGTAGTAAGAGACTCCACGTCCAAGCATTGAGCAGTGCTCGCAGTGTATATCGGAACGACCTAAAATAAACTATTTGTTCTTGCTTACGATACCATTTTTTTTTATAGGGACAAACGAGCATGCGACTCACCTGATGGTAAGTGACTACTGCCACCCATGACAACTGCAACACCAGGGGAATTATAGATGCGTTGCCGGCCTTTTAAAAACGAGTAGGCTCTTTTCTTAAAGGTCCCTAAGTCGTATTGGTACGGAAAAACCCCTCCTATAAAAAAAATCATCATCATTACAGCCCTTCACTAATCCATTGCTGAACATAGGCCTCTGCCAAGGAATGCCAAAAAGTACGGTCTTGAGCCATTTGCATCCGTCGACTTCCTGTATGTCTTACCAGGTCGTCACTCCATCTAGTAAGGTGCCACCCCACACTGCCTAATGGTACGAGGCTGCCTCTCGAGAACCTTTCCTCCCCATCGGTTGTCGGTTCTTTGTCATTCCTACTTAAGCATTGCAGCGCGTGCTATTGTTATATGAAATATTGGATATATCGGCGAGTTACATCCATTACTTTTAATTCGATTCAATAAATTGACAGTTTACGGATTAGGTACAAGAGAAATAAAGATCGTGGGGTAATAAATATTACTTAAACATGGATACATAGGAAAATCGTTTCAATACACGAATTTAAATTAATCGCGACAGCATCCCCAAACGTTATTTATTTAAAGCAGAACGATCGTGTAAATATAAGAAATTATTATACAGAACTAAGTGGATTAATACTTCTACGAAATGGTATTAGGTATTGTCAATTATTCAATCGAAGTAAAAGTCGAAGTATATGAGAACTGCATCTGTTTCCTTACCTCTATTTAGTTGCTCCAATATAATATTGTGTATACGTAATGTAATATTTAAATATTATGTTTATATATTAAAAGTTTGCAATTTTCACAATTTTTTACCCATATTTTCATATTATAAGAGAATAATTAAGTGTTTAGTTGATATTGACAAATATATTACTTGAAAGAAAACTACGGAAAGAAATACAATGTCACCTTGCATTTCAATAATTTTTAAATAAATTGTATTAGATTTGCATGACAGAAAAATAAAATACTATGAAATTATACTTAAAATCCAAATATTATAATATAACTTAATCTATAAATCAGTAATTAAAAAACCTTTTTACGTACACCAGTCATCATGTTTGTTATTAGTATCTTATATAAATTACATTATTGTGAAAGTTGCAAGTGCATAATGTCTATGTATTATTTGTATGTTTAAGCATATATTATATTATATGTTCTATGGATTTTGGTATATTATTTTTATGTATTCAATTTAGTGTTATTGAATAACAATTTTAAGAGAGGACTTATAGTTTAATAAAACTGCTATATAAAATGGGTTTATATACGTAAACACTAGTGAATAAGTGTTATAAATTACAGGGCAAATCGGGAGTTAGTGTGGTGAGATTTTCCTTGTGTTACATCTAGCATGAACTCTTCAATTTTGAACCTATGACGTATATACATACATTTTTCTCATACCGAAACATATTACTGCACATTATATAAAGTCGTTATTGGACAATAAATATCGAGCATGAAATAAGATTATGTAGAGCATTCAGATTTTTTATAACATTTTTTTAAATATTTTAAAATTCTTATTTCTTAAAAACAAATTTCATCATCATCATTACAGCCCTTCACAAGTCCACTGCTGAACATAGGCCTCCCCCAAAGAATGCCACAAAGCACGGTCCTGAGCCACCTGCATCCATCGACTTCCTGCATGTCTTACCAGGTCGTCACTCCATCTCGTGGGGGGACGCCCTACACTTCGCCTACCGGTCCCCATCGGTTGTCGGTTCTTCGAGCTATATGGCCGGCTCACTGCCACTTCAGCTTACTAATCCGTTGGGCTATGTCGGTTACTTTGGTTCTACTGCGGATATCCTCATTCCTAAGTTTATCACGCAGAGAAACTCCGAGCATAGCCCTCTCCATAGCTCGCTGAGCGACCTTGAGCTTCCTCATACAGCCAGCAGTGAAGGACCATGTCTCAGTTCCGTAAGTCATCACTGGCAACACGCACTGGTTGTACAATTTCGTTTTCAGGTTTTGAGGTATGTCTGTCGAGAAGATGTGTCGTAGCTTCCCGAACTCTGCCCAGCCGAGTTGAATCCGTCGATTGACCTCTCGGTCGAAGTTGGACTTACCTAGTCGGACTATTTGTCCCAGGTAAACATACTCGTCAACAACTTCGAGCTTAGTGCTCCCAACCACTATCGGCATAGGTGTGACATGGACATTGAACATGATCTTTGTTTTGTCCATGTTCATCTTAAGACCTATCCGTTGGGAAACACTATCGAGGTCATTGAGCATAGTGCTTAGGTCCTCCAGCGATTCTGCCATAAGGACTATATCGTCGGCAAATCGAAGGTGAGTGATGTACTCGCCATTGATGTTGATACCGTATCCTTTCCAGTCCAGAAGCTTGAAAACGTCTTCCAATGCAGCGGTGAAGAGTTTCGGGGATATGACGTCACCCTGTCTTACACCTCTCTGCAATTGGATAGGTTTCGTACTCTGATTCTGTACTCGGATAGTCATCGTAGCCCTACTGTACAAGCACTTCAACACTTCGATATACCGACAGTCAACTTGGCACCGCTGAAGGGACTGCAGCACCGCCCAAATTTCGACGGAATCAAAGGCTTTCTCATAGTCCACATACGCCAGACATAATGGCAAATTGTACTCTTCGGACTTCTGTACAATTTGCCGAAGGGTATGTATGTGGTCTATTGTGCTAAAGCCCTTTCGGAAACCGGCTTGTTCGGGAGGCTGGAAGTCGTCAAGTCTGCGCGCGAGACGATTCGTAATGACTCTCGAAAACAGCACGTAGACGCGGCTCAGAAGGGAAATCGGTCTGTAGTTCTTCAAGAGAGCGTTGTCACCTTTCTTGAAGAACAAGACCACCGCACTTCTGCTCCACGCCTCCGGTGTAATGCCACCATGGAGGACGGAATTAAAGAGCTTCTGAAGGACTTCAAGTACCGGTCTTCCACCCGCTTTCAGAAGCTCCGCTGTAATTCCATCCTCGCCTGGGGCCTTACCGTTTTTAAGGTGCTGGAGAGCCATTCTAATTTCGCTCAGACTGATGTCCGGGATATCTTCGGAATAGTGTCGGATGAGACTCGCTCTTGGATCGTTACTCACACTTGCGTGCGGCTCCAACGATGACGTGTACAGCTGCCCATAGAACCTCTCAATCTCACTCAAAATCTCAGGTGTCCCGGAAACGATGCTGCCACATTCTGTCTTCAGCTTTGACAGTTGGCTCTTTCTGGCAGACAGATCTCTGGCAAAGACTTTGGAGCCTTGGTTCCGCTCGATCGCTTCTTCAATACGAGCTGTATTGAAGTTGCGTAAGTCCCGCCGCATGCATTTGGAGATCTGTCTGTTCAGATGCCTGTATGCTGTCAAGTCTGTTGAAGAATGTAGCTTCATCTCCCGTCTAACAGCCATGAGATTAAGAGTGTGATCGGAGAGTTTTTGTGTTCTTCTGCGGCGGGTCTTGCAGAACTTAGCTCCGACCGCATGGACAGCTTCCACGAGCTTGTCATTCATATCGTCCACTTCATTGTAGTCTTCTAGACACTGAAAACGGTTTTGTAACTCGAGCTGAAAGGTTTCGGGACTTTGGAACAGAGCACGAGTTAACTTAACGAGTTAAGAACTTAACGTTTAGGTTCAGTGTGCCTCTAACCATTCGGTGATCGCTACCAGTTTTCATCATCGCGATCACGGAGACATCACTGAACAGTTGTCGTCTGGTCGTCATAATGAAGTCAATCTCATTTTTTGTCGAACCGTCGGGGCTCGACCAGGTCCACTTCCTGTGGGGCCGCTTCTGGAAGAAAGAGTTCATCATAAAGAGTCCCTCTTTCTCCATGAAGTCGGCCAGCTGCTGGCCCCTTGGGTTCCGTTGCCCTATTCCAAATTTCCCTACTTTCAGCTCACCGTTCTCTCTTGTGCCTAGTTTTGCATTGAAGTCTCCCATTAACACCGTATATTGGGTTTTGGAGGAATGCATGGCTCTAGAGATATCCTCATACATTTCCTCCACCTCCTCATCGGGGTGTGCCGAGGTTGGTGCGTAAACCTGTATGACCTTCAGAGAATACCGTTGGGTGATTCTGAGTATAAGGTACGCAACCATCGTCGACACACTCCCGATCTTTACAACGTTGTTAACGAGAGACTTGTGGACGATAAATCCGACACCTCCTTGGGACAGATGGTCGCCCTCTCGGTGATAGAGCAAGTTGCCGGATTCGAGGATTACCGTGTCCTCCCCCTCTCTTCGGACTTCGGATAATCCTATAATATGCCAGCGCAACTTGTCTATCTCTTCTTCCAGCTCCACGATCTTCTCGTCAGTCCTCAGGGTGCGTGCGTTGTACGTTGCCAGGTCGAGTCGTCTAAGGTGGCAACCGAACCCCACCGGAGATTCTTAGCACCCCCTGCCCCGCCGTTACCATCGTCGCCACCGTAGCCAGGAATAGCGGGGCCGCCGGGGACTGGGGGCCGTCTCTTTATTACATTCATAGGGGGGTATTTGCCATAGTTGCCACGCTTGGCGAGCGGGTTGGCAACCGCAGTTTTTTTTATTGTAATTTTGGCTATTATCAGGAAGATGCTGCTGCCCATCTCCTGCCTGTTTCCCTTTGTCGCCTTTTACGACACCCACGGGAGGATATGGGGTAGTGGATATTCTTGACCGCCACTACACGGCAAACAAATTTATAGACCACAAATTAATAATTAGTAGTTAATAGGAAATAAATGCCTTTCAATTCTCATTGCTTGAAAAAGAAAACCTTTTTATGGTACAAAATGTACCAAAGGTCTGCCATATAATAAGGTTCTGAAATTTGGATAAAGCATAAGAATAAATGTTAGCACTCTTATTTTAATTTGTCTAAATGTTAAAAAATATGTTTTTAATTTAGTGTTTCAAAAACTACCTACAGAAGAATGTCTGCATATTCGTTTGTTAGTTATTCTATCTCAATTAATATTTTTTATGAACTTTGAAATAAGTACAGCGCATTCAGATTCTTAAGTTAGTTATGGATTGATTAAAATATAAAATACTTTCTATTTTTTATTTTCATGTGTGCATATAACATTTATATATTTAAATGAAATTTCTTGTGGCTGGTTTTTTATCAGGGCAAAGTGACAAGTGCCCTCAGGCGAGCGTACTTTGGTTGTAAGCACATAGCTCACAGTAAGTGCGTAGTATCAAATGAACAAACGAATGGGCCAGCGCCGAGTTTAACGAAAGAATAGATTTTTGATGTACACAGCTCGGTGCCACTAGAAGTTTAGAAATCTATATTGTAACATAGTGTGGTTTTTTAGAATATTTTGGTGATATACAGGCTAGAAGGTTATTAAAAAAATTAGCGCTAGTTATTTAATGGACATTTAGCTAATCTGTTGCTAGAATAGGCATTATAACACCATGAACATGCAGAGATCTCTTGAAATCTGTTTCGTTTCCTATTTTTTTTGCACTTTTGAAAATACATTATATTATTATTGTTATTTTATAATTTCAGAATAATTTATTTTCAGAATAAATTGGGAAATGAAATACAGATGTTGCTTATAATATCATTGAACAAATTTAGCCATCTATTTTCACTTAAATATCAGATCCGGCTGGGCAGCTATGTTTTAAATAAACAATAATATTTTTGTATTTTATTATAGAAACTCGAAATAAAAATACATATTTTAAAGTCCATTTTGCGGTGAAAATATTACATAATATTTTATTTAATATTTGCATATAATGACTAATTGTACTACTGATTGTTTCGATTCTTGTAAAAATTTCAGTAAAACAGTCGTTATTGGCATTTTTGTTTTTGGCATGTTCATTGTGGGATTAATGATTTTAACAATGAGGTATGTACATACTTCTAACTATTTATTAAAAATGTTGAACTGACAATATAATTTTAAAACATAAACATTTAATGTTAGGTGTAGTAAATATGGTAAAGAGCCAGAGCGCATGTGTTCTAAATTATTGTTTACGAAAATATATGTAGAAATCTTATAAATATTTATTAGTATTTTAATTATTTTATGTTATTACTCGTATATGAAATATGTTATGTAGCTCTGTTGTATGTTTATGTATTGTTTCTAGTCCGCGTCGTATTGGGAGCTAGAAAATGATTATGAGATTACTATTTTATTATCCGCGTCTACATTATAACAGGTAAAACGACAAGCTTGTGTATGTATGTGTATGTGATTTGTATTTGAGGTGTTGAAACCTTTTTTACAAAATTTAGATGTGTATTTGCTTTTTACTTGTGATTAAATTACTTTATTTTATATTATTTCTATGTCCCAGATAAATTATAAATGTCGGTAAACATTTCAGGTAGATTTCAGGAGAAGGAAATTTATTTTTTCTCAATAATAAATTTTTAGTATATACCTCAGGCCAATGAAGAAAGAAAGATGGAGTGTGGTGTGCATTTCAATTGACGCAAAAACCAAACCAAAATCATGCCTAACTTATTGTAAGAACATACTCTTAAATATACTTATCCATCTTAAATCATTTGAAAAAAAAATACGGTCATCTATCTTACATAGAAATCTATTTTAGTGGTTAATTTCAACCAAGCATAATATGTGTGTTGTCCATAGTGAACTTTTATGGGCTGTTAAGGAAAAAAAGGAGAATGATGTATGCATGAGTGCATGTCAAGAAGGTGAGCACAGTTTCGGCATTATTTGAAATGTACGTAGCGCTCCGTCTAACTTTCTTTATTGGTTTGTGGAAGACACTTAAATGTTTTATTATTTATGAAAATTTAATTTTCTTATTAGAGGTAAACATATGAATTTTTATATTTATTTTCAATGTATTTTCAAGTATATTTTTAATTCATTATACAATTTTATTGTACGTTGTATTTATTTTATATATTGTAAGTTTATTAACTAAAACTATATATTTCATAATTTCTCATAGTAAGTATACCCACTTTATATTTTAAATTATTTTTTTCTTATAATTTAAGTAAGTTGCTCAGTAATATAAATTATGAGTTAGTTATATTTCAATGCGTCACATGTTGATCAATATTTTAACATCTTAGAAATAAATATTATATATTTCTTTTCTAATTTAGTCATATTGATTCTTATATATGTATGTATGTATATATAACATTTGATAATATACTACTTATCATAACTTTTTAATACTCTCATACTTTTTTATATTAAAATAAATTGCACTTACTACTCCTCTGCTTTTATCATCTATGTTTCATAATTTGTATGCTATTTTCTACCGACTCCAAACAGGGGGAGGTATTTAATTCGACTGAATGTTTTTTTTATGTGTGTTACCTCAAAACTTGTTTCTGGGTGAACCAATTTTGATGATTCTTTTCTATTTGAAAGCTGGTGCTTCACATGTGGTCCCATATAAATTTGATCAAGGCCTGACCAATAGTTATTCTTAATAATTTATATTGAAGGTGGTTGTACAAATTTTGAAATTATTGAATTTAAAAATTTTAAAGCTCTCAACCAAAAATATAGGTGTGTTTTATAACCATATATGTCCGATACTTTTTCAATTTTACACTTAACAAATCGAAACATTAAACCAACCCATATTATTGGTATGTATAATTCAACTGAAATACTTTAAAACAATATTATGGTTATTAAAAAAAATTTGCTCATAATATAGTATTATAATTATAGCGCCTATTATTGTTTGGTTTCTTGTAAAAACAATTTTTTTTCTAGTGTTGCAGAAATTCTTAAGTTTAGGCATCACATATCACATTTCCTTAGTACAAACATTTCAATTAAAATTTTTGCTTTGTAAAGTTTATTTCATTGCTCGTGCGCAGTATTCCTTGCACTTCCTTTCTTTCCATTCACCCAGGCTTTTGCACCTAATCTCTAATTTTAAGTGTTTTAGTTTATACAAGTACAGTTACAAGTGTTAAATTTTAAAATATATCTGTTTATTGCTCAAACTTTTTTATTTTCATAGAAAATATTTAGAACGAAATTTCATTAGAACAGAAATGTAGATGCAATATGTCGCTTTACTCAATTTCAGTCGACGGTCCCGTACTTAAATACCTTTTTATCCTTTTTTCATTAAAATGCATTTATAAGTATTTACGCGCGATTTAATGACTTCAAAATTCGTTGCATCACAGTATGATTCTTATTTTTCGTCTTCAAAGTCTAAATATCTACGCATGACAATAGTGTTGTAAATGCATAGGTAGGCAGAGGGACAGTCGAACTGCATTCGTAAGGCGACATAGTTGTCGGCGAGTGAGTAACGGTGCCCTCGTCCCCGTCCCCCGTCCCCCTCCCTCGCCCTGTGTCCGTGTTGTAGCGGGCGGCGCCTCAGCTGAGCGCGTTGGATCGTTGCAGAATGATGTGGATGCACCGACGCCGCCTCAGGAGGAGACCGCCTCACTACACTCCGGGAGCTTCGCGCACATCGGCAACTGCGAGTGTGCGCCGTCCACTACCAACGGGGCCGCTTCGCCCCCCAGGAACTGCAGGGCCGCCCCGCTCTCCGGGAGCTGCGAGGTCACGGCCGGCTCTACGCTCGCCGGGAGCTTCGCGAACGTCGGCAACTTCACGGCCACCGGCAACTCCTGCGGGCCGGAGTTCCCCGCCAGGTCGCGGGCCTGCGGTGATGCCCTCGCCCGCACGGCATCGCGACTCCCCCAGCTCGAGCCGAGGGCGTAGCCCCCGCCTCGACCTCAACAGAAATCACAAGTGCACTCTGGCGACCGACTCCTCATGCTGATGTCCAACTTTGTTCAGTGTTGGCCATTTCAGTTGAATAAGGTGATTAGAGCATTGTTAAACTGTGAAAAAAAAATCTAGTTTTGGTGAAAAATTAACATTGTCTAGATGTAAGACTACAAATTAATAAATTCAATCTATCCATGAGAAACGTTTGCGAGTTATATAATATTATGATACAAATTCCAGTGAAATCGGAGAGCTTAAATTGTAATGATAATTTTAAGAATATTTTGTTGTTTCGAATTATCAACATTCCTTTGAAAATTTCTGACAAAAAGGTTGCAAAAAGCATAACGAATCATTAATATCAACAGTGAATCAGTACAAAGTCTATAAATTGATGGGAATTTTTAACTTATAAATCCGGCTTATCTTTGATCTATAGCGTTTCTCCTAAAATCTTGTATGTAAAATTGCAATCTGGTTGTAATATTCAAATTACGGTGTTCATTGTTAATCTAGTGTTGCTAGAGTAGAAAATGTATAAGATCAAGATGTTTTTGAATAGAATTCCAAACCGATAGAAATCGTAATAGAAATGTATATAAATATATATATCTGTGAAATGAAAGTTGATAATCAATTTCAATTATTGTATTCATTCCTACACAAAATAAATGTGAAACTCGTTGAATGTTTGGTAATTTATTAATCTGGTATCAAGAATTTTAATGCCCCTACTAAAAATATACTCTCCTGTGTGTAATAAATAAAATAAATATAATTAGACACAAAGAAACAATTATTTTAGCTTATTATAATTATTGATGAAATATACTTTACTTTAACTTTGATTATATTTAAAATACCAAGAATTGCATTTGTATTAAGTATACTACATGTAAAAATGTCGCGAATAGCAACAATCAAATATGAAAAAATGTAATCCGGATGTTGACCAAGCCATTATTATGCATATTTTGAGTGATTAAATAAATTTTATTCGTTGATTTATGTACGTAATTTAACTTTAGTCTTATTGTAACCTCTTGTCGAAGAGTTGACAGAACAACCTGAACTGATCCTAAGAACTTTTATTAAAAATGAAAAAGCAAAATTGTCTTTTTATTAATTTTCAATGTTGAAATACGCGCGGTATGTTCACTAGATATTATTTTGACGATAACATTGGTAAAAATTCATGTGGAGGTTAAAAAAAAACTGGAGATGCCGGGGATCGAACCCGGGGCCTTTCACATGCAAAGCGAACGCTCTACCACTGAGCTACATCCCCGATGTTGATACTAGTGAATTTTTTTAATTAAATCCGACAACCTGTTAATTTTTATTAAATTACTTTGTTATATTTTGTTATTACAAAAAATATTAAATTCTAAATTGTATATTGTTATTAGGTTGGAAAAAATACTTAAAAAACAAAAATATTACCCATACTATACTCTATTTAAATCTTTTACCAATCTTTCTTTAGCTTGCTGCTGGAGAATTCATATTGTGTAAGAATTTGAGATAATAAACTAGTGCCCAAAGTAAATTAAGTTCAGTATATTTTTACAATATGATTAAAAATTGATTAGCCTTTCATCATGTTTCCAACATAGCTTTTATTGAAAACTTTGTATTTTTATGATTACGTGCTTATGAATTAATAAAGTTCGCTTGTAGGTACTTAAAAATATTTGGTTTTCACGAAATCCGTCTGCAATTTTCCAAGTTATAAAAGAGAGTTGTAAGCCGACACTTTTTGCGGCGTTGGATTTCAACCAGAGGTCGAGATGAAGATAAACCATATTTGAAGATACAAAATGGCGCCCATTGCATTGTAATAAAGGCGTAAATGGCTTTGATTTTTTATTTGTTTTTATCATTGTTCGATTAATTTAATTTCAATGTTTTAAAAAACTAATTGTCTATCCTATGTTTTCTACCGTTAAATCTTTCCTAATTAATTATTTAGCTAGTCAGAAATTATCGATATAATATTTGAGCTATTTTAATTAAATTTTTTTTTCAAAATTTAGTGTTCTTGAGGGTGTTTGTCATATTTTCAATGTAGCATTACGTCCGTATTTTTTATTGTTTATGGCACTGAAGGGAAATTATTTTTTTAAATTACTATCAGTCTTGGTGTCATTTTTATACTATATAAGTATGGACAGCACACATCATTCCTTCGGATGATAAGTTAATGTTGTATCTCATAGCGACTAGGTACATCTATCCTTGATTAAAACTACTAGTCGTATAGCTATCGCTAATTACGAAGATTTGCGACTATGCCATGTCTCTGTCACGAAGTCTTATTTTCAGCCTAAGATGTTTTATTTTTTAATACGTCTTTGTTTCCAAGCCTGCGGATAAATATAGCTACTGGTCAATTTAACCGACTGTATAGTACATATACATAATTATTTTGTTTGCATTGTAGGTAACGTTTAATTTTGTATTTTAGCAAAATGCCATTTAATTTATTTATTCATTATTTATAGCATCCGTATTACAAAAGAATACAAAAAACTGACTTAATGACATGAGGCATTATCCTTTTCGTTTTAAACCGAGATTTTAAAAGTCTTAACTACATGGTAGTAGCACGTGCCGATGTAGCCTACGGACTTAATCTTTGTTTGAAATCGTATTGACGAGAAAATCATACTGGTTCTACGACTTGCTGAATATTGCATGCTTTTCCGCAAAAAGCGTTCGAGATCCTTGACGTAGATATTGCCATTTTAAGTGTTGCTCTGATTAAAAATTCAAAATGTTTTTCAAGCTTGTATTTATGTTTCATATTATAATTTTTAATTTATATCATGCCAACACCAGTTACGATGACTTGAGTTATTTATTTTCTTACCATACCTACCATACCATCTGTTCTGCTTATCTCGGTCTGAGTAGTACAAGGTTTTTTTATCCCTTTTTCGAGTCGCCATTAGTAAAAAGGTACCTATTATAGTTTGAATCCAGTTACTTACTATATTTATGAGATGTGAAATGAAATGAAATGTTTATTTGTTGAACATACATAGGTAAGTAGTTATATATGATGGAATTTGGTAGGTATATTGTTCCATATTATGTTATGCCTCAATCCTGGGCATGCAAATGTTTAATTTTTTTATTACATATTATTGACAGTTTCAGTTCAGTTTTTTTACAGTTATTCATAAAGGAGAATACCAGTTTTTTTTTACACAAACATTCGGGACTTATTTATTATCATTTGGAAACCTTTGTATACTTTTATTTTCTTACCTTGTTATTATAACCCCTATAATATTAATGTAACGTTTATGATTATGACCACAGCGTACATTAGTATGGTAATTTTTAGTAATTATGATTTACAGTTAAAATGTGAGGAGACACATTGTAACTGTACCTAAATCACAATTTTTCAATATCCATGTGGTGTTCATTAACGTAACGAAATAATTATGTGTAGTATTGTAGAGCAGGGTTTGTATTTAATTGTGGTACAGAAACTTAGTTTAATCAAGTTTTTGAACTTTGAGCAGGTCAAATTTTGTATATTTTCTGGGATTTTGTTGTAAAAGCGTATATACATCGCCCCAAGAATGAATTACTGACTCTGCGGAGTCGAGTAACTGGTACTACTATAGCTTGTGTCTGTTCTTAGTATTTACAGAATGAATAACACTTATTTTTGTAAAAGTACTTTTATTTTTGTGTACGTACATTACTTTTTCATAAATGTATTGAGGCCAAAGTTAATATATTAATTTATTTAAATTTTTGTTGCAGCGACAGCGGTACATGCGGAATACCTAAGACTATTAGGACTATTTTATTATAATTTTAGATTGTTTATACCACGTAACTAACAACTATAACATAAAACTTTAAATCTTTGACACTTTTAACATACTAACAAAGTTCTAACACCTGTGTTTGTAATTTTTTCTAGGTATTTCAACAGATTAATTTACCAGAATTCTAGGAGTAAAAGTAAACTTATATATTATAGACTTATTTTATGTTCGTTTGTTTAAAATCTTAAATCTCCGAGAGTTCTTCACCGATTGCTTTGAAATTTTGATACCACACACATTTGAATGTGTGTATTTTTATACATTTTTTAAAAAACTGAGCCACAGCAACGCGTGGTCTATTGAAGTATTTGATCAATATGTTATCTTCTCTATCTTTATATATAAAAATTACGTGTCACATTGTTTGTCCGCGATGAACTCCTAACTTACTAAACTGATTGCAATGAAATTTTGCACACTGTGTGCAGTTTGGTCCAACTTGAGCGATAGGATAGTTTTTATCACTATAAGTGACCCTCAGTATTTTTTATTACGAATTTAATAATTTTTATAGGACACAGGGTCGTCGAAGAAGGCAGCACAACGTCTGCCTGGCCAGCTAGTATGTATATAAAAGTTATTATCCTCGGTAAATCTCAAAAACGACTTTACCGATTTTGATAAATTTTTTTGTGTTTGAATGGGTTCCTAAATGGTTTAGATTCACATTTAGACCCGGTAGGCGACGCTGTTGTCAAGATCCAGGAAACATCGCTATATTGTTAATAGAAACAAGCCATAATAGGTATATTTCATCCTATTTGGTTGTTTCCGCCTCAATATTCACCAAACTTTATATCGATGCCTTCGAGTTATGTAATTAATATAGATTCAGTACGGTTTTTCCTTCAGTTTTCTGGTAAGATGATGGTTTTGATGGTAAGTGGTTGCTGTGGCCCATAGACATCTACATCTATCTTCGTTTGCGAATCAAAATTCAGATGGGTTGTCACCCGTGAGGACTAAGATGGAATGCCTCTTTTCCAGTAAAAAGGGTCTCCGGTTCTCTACACTCACCATACGAAACACAGCAGCATTAAGCTGCTATTTTATACTGGTATTCTGTGAGAGCGTGGTCGAGACGACCCATTCGTGCTACAACTATACTATTTAATATAGCTGCAGCATGGCTCTACCACGTAAAAATTTACTAGTATTTGAGCTATCAAAAATCACTTACAAACTTTTTTTATAGTAATTATGTCTTAAAAACTCTTTAAATATGTTTTAGTGTTTTAAATGTTTTACTACTTTATAAATTAAATTTTATATTAACAAATATTTGAATAGCTCCATTTTTTAGACTTTAATAGTGCCCCTTCACTGCTGGCCGTATGAGGAAGCTCAAGGTCGCTCAGCGAGCTATGGAGAGGGCTATGCTCGGAGTTTCTCTGCGTGATAAACTTAGGAATGAGGATATCCGCAGTAGAACCAGAGTAACAGACATAGCCCAACGGATTAGTAAGCTGAAGTGGCAGTGGGCCGGCCATATAGCTCGAAGAACCGACAACCGATGGGGAAGAAAGGTTCTCGAGTGGCAGCCTCGTACCGGTAGGCGAAGTGTAGGGCGTCCCCCCACGAGATGGAGTGACGACCTGGTAAGACATGCAGGAAGTCGATGGATGCAGGTGGCTCAGGACCGTGCTTTGTGGCATTCTTTGGGGGAGGCCTATGTTCAGCAGTGGACTTGTGAAGGACTGTAATGATGATGATGATGAATAGTGCCCCCACAATTTTTTTACTAGAATTTGTCAAATCCTGTAGGTACTTACCTATTGTCTCCAGTTGAGCTAACGAAATATAAAAATAACGAACAGGATAATATAAAAGCTGTAAATTTTTCTTATAAGTACTGCAAATATTAAATCGCATTTTTTTTTAAATTTTGCATCTGAGTAGGTACTAGGTACATGCTACTTGTTTGTTGCAAAAATATGAGCAAAAGAACCACATATTTAAAAAGATGTACATCCTTTTAAATATCTGGTTCTTTTGCTAATTTTTTATGAAAAGACCCAAGATAATCCATGTTTTTTGTAAACTAACAATTTAAATTAAAAACTATATCTCGATATTCAAAACATATTTATTTTAACACAAAGAATCCTAATTATAATTAGTATAATAGTAATCTTAATAATAGTAGTAATTAACTCCTATATTACTACACCAGATACTGAAAATGAAGTTTGGGCGAAAATGATCATTTGTGTCTACCATTAACATTGAATATACCATACATTAAAAGAGTTAATAACGATACACAAAACTACATTAATTTCAGCGATATTAAATACTTTTGATTTTAAACAGATAATTATGTCTTAAATTACGAATTAAGAAGTCTTCCCGCGTCGATAGCGTAATTACATCCAGTAATACTTTTAGCTTTGTCGCTCGCTAAAAATGCAATCAGATTTGCTACTTCTTCTGCTTCTATTTCCTTCTTTAACGGACACCTACCGACCATATTTTTTGATAGCAAATCCAATTGATCTTCGTTTAGCCCCAAATTTTTTAATAAATTAGTTTTCACGAAGCCTGGGTTTACAGAGTTAACTCTGACTCCATCAGGCGCTAACTCCAACGCTGCGCACTTTGTAAAGTGGTCGATTGCCGCTTTAGACACGTTGTATGCTATTGCCATTGTACTGGGCATACTACTAGCTATGCTGGACACATTAACCACACAACCTTTACTTTCAACTAAGTGCGGAGTGGAGAGCATTGTTAAATAGTAAACAGATCTCATGTTTGTCGACATAACTTTATCGTAGTCATCCATGTTTGAGTTTTTTAAACCACCCATAGCGATAATGCCAGCATTGTTTATCAAAACGTCTATTCTGCCATAATGATCAATAGTCTCTTTTACGATTCTTTCTACATCTAAATCTTCTGTGACATCAGCTACAATAATTAACGGCTCTATACCTGTCGCTTTTTGGCAATATGAACTGATTGCTTTTAACTTATTTTCCCTTCGGCCAACAAGAGCTAATTTCGCAGATTGCCTCGAAAAGTTGATTGCAGTAGTAGCACCTATGCCTGAACTAGCACCAGTTATTAATATTACTTTGTCTTGAAATTCCATTCTCACTGTAACTTGTTACGTTAACGCAAGGGCTTATGGGTAAAGAAAACTATAAACAGACGTATACTGACAGAACGGAAAGTTACGCTACCACTACCAGTCCACGAGTCTGGGTTTCTGCCAGTATAAACAGTAGGTATATTCAAAGAGAATATAACCCACAGAACACTAATACCCTTAGGCGGGATATAACCACTACGTTTAGGTATATTATTGATTAATGACCACAAACAAACTATATATAAATAGAAACACGATCTGTGCATATATAGCATTCACAGACCATCACAGAGTCACAGACTAATATGTAATATGATGCGTACTATTCTGTTATCAAGCTCTACATTATAACGTGTTGCCAGGGACAGAAATAATATTCTACCATTTCAGAAGGTAATCATTATTATTATTTTTATGATTAAATATAGATATTATACGAATATAAATTATATATTTAAATGTAATTAAAAAGTAAATATACATACTGGTAACTGATTTGTCCTATTCCGCTTGTCTTAATCAGTCGGTTAATTGGATCCTTAGCAAATTAGTTATAGTAAAGGAACAAAAGCAATGGGTAATATTAAAAAAAAAGAACGTTACTCATATTAGAATTTTCTTCTATATCGTGGTGACAGTTCAAACAATACTTCGCCATTCGTTTAAATATATTATCATTTTTAAATGATAATCATGAGTTGGGTGGAAGTTTCTGTTCAAAATTGCTAACAATTTAATTATATTTGATTATTTTTGCATAATTAATTAAAAATATATGTTTTCTTTAAATTAAAATTAGCACAAAATACCATTTGAAACTAAAAAATTTGCACCAGCTGTTGTCCCCCTTTTGTAAAATTATTTCGCTCCGCAGTCGTCGTGCTCCAAGAGAGCTGAATTTCATTAGCTCAATCTTAGTGTTATTACCGTAATTATCATTTTTGAATGCTAGCATAATATAACTGATAGTCTAACCGTCTCATTAGCCGACTTATTAATAATTGGGCTAAGAGCTGCGACACGACGTATTCATTATAGTTTTAATGAAACTTCGATGGTACAGATAAGTTTACGCTAGTCTTAAGTATTACTAACTACATACATAATACATATACATAAACACTCACGCCTGTCACCCAGAGGGGTAGGCAGAGATTTTGGACTTCCATTTGGCATATTATTACTAACTCTTATATTATATGTTTATTTTATTACGAGTGGGTGATTAACAATGATAATAATAATAATTCTTTATAGAACACACAATTAATATGCGATTCATTGATTCCCTAACTCTTGAGCTAGGATACCCTGTATGTCAAGAAGCAGTTTCCATCCCATTCGATTACCTTATTTTTGATTATTTGAGACTGAAAGTAGTAAAACATTTTTACGTTGATTACTAAGAATGGATTTTTTTCAAACATGGTAACATTTCAATTTTCAACTGCGCACGCAGTGAAGTTAGTGCACAGCAAGAGGCACGTGACGTATTATCACTGACCTTAAATACTATCTTGTATAATCATAGAGGTCAGTGCGTATTAGGTATTTATAAACGTAATTCATTCTCCTTGGGCGTTTATGTACACTGCTTTTGGTTACTGTAACTGCTTAGTTATGCAATCTGGAAGTGACCGTAATGATTATCATAACAACATGTTGATCACTAATTGTGCCGTTTAAGCTTTTCATATTAGATTAGGTACTCAAAACATGTTATAAAGTGTAACGGTAAGGTCACAGAAGACGCTGACTTCACTGTATAATAATTGTTATTGCTGGTCAAACCAAGGTGTCTTACTTTCAGTCAAGATACTTGTATTGACTATCCTATAAAATCCCGTTGAATTAAGAATTATATTCATTAAAGTTCTCATCATAGGAAATACGTAATTCATTATTGTAAAAAAAACCTGCGGTAGCCAACCAAACCTGCGGTTGCCAACTCGCTCGCCAAGCGTGGCAACTATGGCAAACATCCCCCTCCACGATTAAAGTTTTTTTTATAGGATTGGGCGACAAATGAAGCACACAGTCCACGTGATGGTAAGTGGTTGCTGTGACCCATAGACATCTACATATTTCCTTAATAAAGAATCAAAATGCAGATGCGTTGTCACCCGTGAGGACTAAGATGGAATGCCTCTTTTTCAGCAAAAAGGGTCTCCGGTTCTCTACTCTAGTAAAGGTTGCAGTGTTAAGCTTCTATTTTACGCTAGTATTATGTGAGAGCGTGGTCCTTCCCTGGTCGAGCCGACCCATTCGTGCTACAACTATACTATTAATATAGCTGCATGCAGCATCTATCACGTAAGTTATGAATAGACAGCCCCAGTCCCCGGCGGCCCCGCTATTCCAGGCTACGGTGGCAACCATGATAACGGCGGGGCAGGGCGTGCTAAGAATCTCCGGTAGAGGTTCGGTTGCCACCAAAGACGACTCGACCTGGCAACATACAACGCACGCACCCTGAGGACTGAGGAGAAGATCCTGGAGCTGGAAGAAGAGATTATAGGATTATCTGAGGAGGTCCGAAGAGAGGGAGAGGACACGGTAATCCTCGAATCCGGCAACTTGTTCTATCACCGGGAGGGTGACCATCTGTACTAACGAGGTGTCGGATTTATCGTTCACAAGTCTTGTTAACAATGTTGTAAAGATTGGGAGTGTGTCGACGAGGGTTGTGTACCTTATACTCAGAATCACTAAACGGTATTCGCTGAAGGTCATACAGGTTTACGCACCAACCTCGGCACATCCCGAAGAGGTGGAGGAAATGTATGAGGATATCTCTAAAGCCAAGCATTCCTCCAAAACCCACTATACGGTGTTACTTCATTATGACGACTAGACGGCAACTGTTCAGTGATGTCTGGTAGCGATCACCGAATGGTTACAGGCACACTGAACCTTAACGTTAAGTGCGTGCTTTAATTCAAAGTTCCAAAACCTTTCAGCTCAAGTTACAAAACCGTTTTAAGTGCCTAGAAGACTGCAATGAAGTGGACGATATGAATGACAAGCTCGTGGAAACTGTTCATGCGGTCGGAGCCAAGTTCTGCAAGACCCGCCGCAGAAAAACATAAAAACTCTCCGATCACACTCTTAATCTCACGACTGTTAGATCGCGAATGAAGCTGTAGTCTAACAGATTTGACAGCATGCAGGCAACTGAACAGACAGATCTCCAACTGCATGCGGCGGGACTTACGCAACTTCAATACAGCTCGTATTGAAAAAGCAATCGAGCGGAACCAAGGCTCCAAAGTCTTTGTCAGGGATCTGTCTGCCACAAAGAGCCAACTGTCAAAGCTGAAGACCCACTGTGATAGCATCGTTTCCGTAACACCTGAGATTTTGAGTGAGATTGAGAGGTTCTATGGACAGCTGTACATGTCATCGTTGGAGCCACACGCAAGTGTCAGTAAAGATCCAAGAGTAAGTCTTATCCGACACTATCCCGATGATGTCCCGGCCGTCAGTGTGAGCGAAATTAGAATGGCTCTCCAGGACCTTAAAAACGGCAAGGCCACAGGCGAGGATGGAATTACAGCGGTGCTTCTTAAAGCGAATGGAAAATCGATACTTGAAGTCCTTCAGAAGCTTTTTAATTCCGTTCTCCATGGTGGGACTACTCAGGAAGCTTGGAGCTGAAGTGCGGTGGTCTTGTTCTTCAAGAAAGGCGACAACGCTCTCTTGAAGAACCACAGACCGATTTCACTTCTGAGCCGCGTCTACGTGCTGTTTTCGAGAGTCACTAAGAATCGTCTCGCACGCAGACTCGACGACTTCCAGCCTCCCGAACAAGTCGGTTTCCTAAAAGGTTTTAGCACCATAAACCACATACTTACCCTTCGGCAAATTGTACAGAAGACCGAAAAGTACAGTCTGCTACTTTGCCTTGCGTATATGGACTAAGTACTATAACTAAGTAGCGAGCGATTGCGTCATGCGATAAAATATGCGACCAATCACCACCTGACGTACGCAGCCGTTTGTCTTTATCGTTGTTATTAATGACAAACCGTCGCGAAACGCCCGCCTACCCTCCAACCACGCAACCAAACGCCGATCACCGTGAGGGTGACAAACGACCATATTACGAGGCTGTCTGTTATTAGAGAGCAGGCTTAAAGATATTTAAGAGTGGTGAGTTAAAAACATTTTTTATAAGAATTTTGTACAGAAACCGAAAAGTACAATCAACCACTTTGTCTTGCGTATGTGGACTATGAGAAAGCCTTTGATTCCGTAGAAATACGGGCGGTGCTACAGTCTCTTAAGCGGTGCCAGTTTGAGTGTCGGTATATCGAAGTGCTGAAGTATTTGTACAGTGGGGTTACGATATTCGTCCCAGTACAGAATCAGAGTACGAAACCTATTCAACTGCAGAGAGGTGTAAGACAGGGTGATGTTATATCCCCGAAACACTTTACTGCTGCATTGAGAGACGTTTTCAAGCTACTGGACTGGAAATGATACGGTATTAACATCAATGGCGAGTACATCACTCACCTTTGATTTGCCGACGATATAGTCTTTATGGTAGAATCGCTGGAGGACTTAAGCACTATGCTCAGTGACGTCAATAATGTCTCCCAACGGATAGTTCTTAAAATAAACATAGATAAAACAAAGATCATGCGTAATGTCCATGTCACACCTATGCAACTGATGGGGAAAAAAGGTTCTCGATTGGCAGCCTCGTACCGTGTAGGCGAAGTGTACGGCGATCCCCACTAGATGGAGTGACGACCTGGTAAGACATGCAGGAAGTCGATGAACGCAGGTGGCTCCTGACCGTTCTTTGTGGCATTCCTTAGGGGAGGCCAATGTTCGACAGTGGACTTGTGAAGGGTTGTAATGAGGATGATAATGATTGTAAAGAAATAGTAAATAAATCTCATCGAAACATATTTATTGTGTTTGAAAAAGCTTCAGCACCGTTTGCGAAACTTAACTACGTACTACACGTGCGGTTGTAGAATGGTACACCG